CGAGGGTGGGCAGGGATAGAGAGCCGGCGAGAGCCGGCGGTCCCCACGCGAGGGGCCACGATCACCCCTTCCCTTTTCTCCAACCAGGCCGGCCCCCTCCCGGCTGCTGCAAGGACAACGCCGGAGCAGGCGCAACGGTTCGCGCACCTCGCATACCGCTCCAACTCCGCGTCGGCGCCTTCCCGGAAGGAGGCGCGTGCCTCGGGGTCGAACCACATGCGGCTCGGGATGACGGTGGCGGCAAAGCGCAGCCCAAAGTCGGCCAGGTCGCGCGTGATGGACACCTGCGATGGCCACGCGACGTGGGTCGGTGGCGACCGCTGGCGGCCAAGCACAGGCGCTGGCTGCACACCTGCCGTTCGTTGACCTCGCTGATCTGCGCGACGGTCTTTTCGAGCTGCTCCTGCGTCTTGCCAAAGGAGCCCCAGCGCGGCAGCCGCGGACCAGTCGCCGTGCACAGTTGGCGACGCAGCAAGCCGCGCGGCAGCATGTGCACGGAGCGGGCGCGCCTCGCAAGGGCCGCGAGAGAAAAAATGGCAATTTTTCGGTGCTGGTAGCTCCCCCAAAACAGGCGCGCGCAGCGCGCCCAGGGGCGCCGCAGGCGCCCCAAGCGGCGCGGAGCGCCGCCGCAGGCGGCGGACAGCAGGTGCGCGAAATTAAACGCCATTTTTGGTTCCGCGGTTTTGCCACTAACATTGAAATCCGGTACAAAACGACTTAGCCGAAACAGCTGACAGACAGACAGAGAGCACACACGTTCGAGACGGGGGTGCGCCGACCGCCGTCGCGGACCCAGTAGAGCTAGATGGTCCCACATGATGCGCCCTTAGCCTCTGAGCTCGTCCTAGACATTTTAGGGAAGCGTGGGCAGACCAGAACGCGGCCACGGCGACACTCCGAGGCTGTCAGCAGCGCTGGCGGCGATCGTGGCGACGGCGCCTCGCCGCTGCAGCGGCACAGAATCGAGGAAGTGGCGTTGGTGGCAGCATCAATGAGATATGAAGGCGGCCGTAATGCTGGTGGCGCCTTCGAGGGCGGCGGAGAGGGCGGTAGCAGCGACGGCGATCTAGTCATGTGGCAGGGGTGCGAAGATGCAGCAGGGAGGCTTGAGTTAGCGACGCGGGGCGGTGGCGTGCCAGCAGGTAAGCGGCGGCGGCGGAGAGCAGGTGCGCGAAATAAAGGCCAATCTTGAGATATCCATTTTGCACCACCTTTGGATTTCTGGTACAAATTGACTTGTGGATCTTGAAGGCACGCGCAAGAGCGCACCAGGCAAGTTGACTGAACCTCGGATCTCGCTGCCGCTAAGCGTGGCGTCGATTATCAAACGAGCGGTGACAGTAGCGGTGGCAGCGGCGGCAGCGTCGACAGGAGCACCTACTGCAGCGTGAAATGTGAGCTGGGAGGCGGGAGGCAGATGCAATAGGAGCGGGAGAGTGAGATCGTCAGCCAGCACGGCAGACCTTTAAAGCGCGGCTGCGGGCGCGTTTGCAGTGACATGCGATCCATGTGGTAGCAAAGGCACGGCGGGAGTAGCGTATGCAGGCTGTGCGCGAGGGTGGCGCGTCGCGAGTGGCGGTGCAGCTAGTCGGTGGCGCGGGTGCTGGCGACCGGCAGAGAGGTGCAGCCGGCGCGAGAGATGAGCCCTGCGGAGAGGCGAGGTGATGGGCGAGCCGCGACCGTGGGAGAGGGCTGAGCATCGGCTGCACCGGAGGCACAGGAGCCTCGCACGCCCGACCGTGACGAGAGCGCCCTGACGCTGGCAGCTCAAGCAGGTCAGGGCGCTACCAGCACCGAATGGGTACCCTCCCCAAAAATTCCTAAAAAATCCACGCAGGCGTGTTTCTGGTACTCCACTGGAGCCGCCTAAAATGACTCTGCGAGGGCGGCGGCGAAAAAGATCTCCTGCCTCTGGACCGCTCAATCTGGCGATGTGTCCTCCCATCCCTCCCTTCCTTGGGTGCTATGTCCGTCTGATGTGCAGCAAGATGACAGAACAGACGTTTTCAGGGCTGGTGGAAGAGAGGTACTTTTTAAGCGAATAAAAGTGTGAAAAGACGCCTGCGTGAGGCGGTTTTCCGATATGGAAACCCCCTCCGATTACACGAAGACCATCGCCGTCGCAAATGGCGCGCCATGCGCACACGCATCTCCTGGCCGCACGCCTTCCCCTCTCGCATCCCGATCCGGCCTGACAGGTGTCCAGACCTCGATCGTTCCGGGACACCATCCAGGCGCAAAAAGAATTCACTGGCCAGCCGCCCCCCCCCGGGGAACTTTAACAGCCGTACATCTTCCTCCCCAGGCGGCACAAGCTCCTTCCCGCTTTGCGACGCGCAGAACCCCTACACCGTGCCGAATCTCATCGAATTCTACGCCAACAGCACGGCGGCGCCACCCCTCGCCATCCAAGCGATCATCAACAACTACAACCCCACCTCCCTGCCCTCCTCGCGGCGCGCGCTGTCGCCGCAAACCGCCACGTGCTGAGGTGCAAGGTCGGAGGGCCTCTCTGGCAAAGAGCTAAGAGGGAACAGATGGCTGCCGGCGTTCGCTTTCTCTCATTCTTTGTGGTTCCGTGGCGAGCGACGTTAACGCATTCGGTGCCGCCGAGGCAGCCGGGGCGATTGAACGGCTGGCATGCGGGCGGGAGGATGGGGTGGGGTGGGGTGGGGTGGGTGTCGGTAACGGAGGGGAATGCCCTGCTGCAGCGCGGAGCGCCGTCGCGCTGCGCCTCTTCACGATCGCGTTTGTGCCGCAGCCAGAGGGGGGAACGGTCCTGTCGGCTGGAGGCTTGCCTTGGTCTGTTAGCAGGTCGTGGGGGGGGGGGGTTTGGTCTTGAGGCGGCTCGGATGATGATTCTACCATGCCTTACCCCGCTCAGAGAGCAAATCGAGCTCTGGGGGGAGGCGGGGCCCCTAGGGGGTACCCATGCGGCCGGGGGCACGATGGGAAACAGGCTAGGGCCGAACTTGCGTTGTTTTGTCACTCGCCATGCGCGTCCTTAAATAAATAAATAAACAAAGAGTTGGACAAATACCAAATTCCAAATCGCAAACATAGAAACCCAAACACAGGAGGCGACGTGGCATACGAGCTCATAGGAGAAGGAGGCGGGCACAAGTTCCAAGGACGCACGAGAATAAAAACGGACACCGCTCTACTGTGAGATGGGTAAAAAGGAACAGGCCCCCGCCCTTGCGATCTTTGTGCAGGGCATGTTGCACGAGTACCGGGTATATGGGCCAAAAGCGTCGAAAATGTCCCAAAGAAGCGTGACTCGAGTTTGTGGCAGCCCCGCAGCCGGCGCGCGCTGCCAGGAAGCACCGCTCGCGTGTCGGCGGCACTCCCTGGCACCCAGTGAGTGCCGCGAACCGACCAGACCGAACAGGCTCGACGCCGCGCTCGCTGTGGGGCTGCCACAAAGTCGCCGCCGAGCGTGCCACCGAAAGCGTCCCGTCGGAGGTGATGGAGTGTGAGACCTGAGGCTGCGGAGGTGACGCCTGAGGTACCGGCCCGTGCACAGCGACCCAGCCGGCGACCGCCACGGGCTCAGGCGAGACTTGTCGACGCGTTCCGGCTCAGCTTCACCGTGGTCATTGGGCGTCTGTCGACGTCAGGACCACCCATACAGCTCGAGGGTTTGAGGTCGCAAGAGCCAAGATGGTGGCGTTTGGACATCCCAACCACCACACAAGACAGCCTGTAGGTGATGGCGGGACGGCGCAGTGTTTGTGGCACTCGGCAGTAGGCACCCGCGGCACGGCCCCGCTGTCGGCTCTCGCGGGCTGCGGAATCGGCCCCAGAAGGGGACGGTCCGGGCGAGTGTGGCAGCTCCTGCGCTAGCATGGGCACCCTGTATCATAGCACTACTGATCCTGGTCATAAGAGCTGCCAGGAATAGCGTCAGGAGCCGGTAGGAGTCAAAACCCCTCATATTTGAGACATCGTGTCCCATATACTCGCACAACGAGCCGCAGGGTTCTTTGTGGGTGTGGTCGGCGACTAGCCGGGGTCGTCCTCCCGATGGGGGACTAACGCACTAGCCGTCTTCCACATGGTCCCTCGGGTCCCTGCTGCTCCTAATCTCTTCGTACATCCTCCTGCTGATCCGCAAAGTCCTGCTCCCTCCCTCGTCTCGCCCTGCGCGTCTGCTCCGCCTCACCGTCTTCTGCCCTGCGTCGTCTGGCGACGGGTCCTCCATAGTCGGTCGAGGTCGCCGCCCTCCTCGTGCCTCTTCCCAACGTTCCCTCGGCGGCCGATGCCGTCTGCTCCGGCTCCCCAGTCCCCGGCTCTGCCCTGCTCTCGTCTGCGCTAGTTTCTGCTTCGTCATCACTGGCGTCTCTCCTCTTCCTTCTCCCCTTCTTGTATGCTTTGCACATCGCGTCGATTCCTTTTCGCGTGAGCACCAGCCTGAAGCCCGCCCAGCAGCTGAACCGCTCCCTAAGTCGAAGGAGCATCATCAGTCTCACCCACTTCGCTCGCTGCCCACCGTCTCCGCTCCCTCCCGCTTGAGCCGCCGTCGCAGCCCTCGTTCGTCCCACTGGCTGTTGGCCCGTCCCTGCGTTGCCTGCGTTATCCCTCCTCCTCCGCGACTCCCTCAAGGCCGGCCGAGCCTCTTTCCACCCAGTGAAGAGCTTCCTCAGCCACTCGATGTGTTCCTCTCTCTTCATTAGTCGCTCGCGCGGCGTCACACCTGCTCAAAAAAGGAAGGGCCTGGTTGGAGCCACGGGGCTCACGTGCTCGCTCGGTTCTCGCCGCCTCGCACTTGGAGCACTTGGAGTGCAGTTGGCAGCCTCACATCCAGGGCCGGGGAGCTCAGAAGCGCACCCAGCGGGCCGGATGATCGGGATCGGGTTACGGGCAAGAGAGCCCTAGCCCCTCGCTCTGCAGGACTTGGGCTTTTTTTGCCGAGAGCACTGGCGCGCTGGCGCGAGTGGCAACGCGAAAGCCGGTCGACGACGCCAACGTTGTGCTGCCCGAGTGTGCTGCCCGAAGGCATGTCGGCGATGAACGCAAAGAGATTGCTGCTGCTCTCGCTCTCGCTCTCACTTCCTCTTGCTGCGAGCATCGACTCGCCCGGCAGCAGCTCGCGACAGTGCCGCATCGAGCTCTCGGGCGGCTGGCGCGCCTGCCGCGCCGAGAGTCAGCGCGACGGGTCGTGCACGAGATGGCTGCGCGGCCCGCAGCCGTCGCTGCCGACGACCGCGCTCGCGACCCTGCTGGCCGCGGGAGAGCTCCAGCTGCCCAAGGGCGACGACCCGTACTTCTCTGACAACCTCGCGCACATCCCAGACATCAACATCACCGGCGCGAGCTTCTACACGCTGACGTGGGAGCGGCATATGCCGGTCGAGCAGCTGTCCGCCGAGTGCCGGGAGCAGCAGACGGACAGGGCGTGGCTGCGGCTCGAGGGCGTCAACTACAGGGCCGCCCGTGCGAGCCTCGGAGGCCTGCAGCTGCCAACTCCGCCGCCGGGCATGTTCATCAGGCATCGGTACGAGGTGAGCGCAGGCGGTCTCTTCGCCTTGACGATTGCACCTCCGACTCACTACGGCGGCACCGAGTGCGGGAGCGGGGCGTGCGGGCAGGGTGGCGACCATGCCCTTGCGCAGGACGTGACGGCGCAGGTGATGCTCGGTTGGGACTGGGCTCGGCCCATTCCGGACCGCTCCACTGGCTTCTTTGGCGGCGTCCAGCTCGAGGTCACTGGCAGCGTGACCATCGAGGACGCCGCACTCCTCACGCGGGCATTGTCGTGCGGCTGCGCAGGCTGCGAGGGCTGCGGAGCGCGCGCGGAGCGGGCGGCGCTGCTCATGGTGCTGACGCTGGAGAACCATGCGGCCAAGTCGGTCGTAGTCGAGCTGAGCGCCGTCCTGCGCGAGTCGGTCGCGGGCCGTGCCGCCACTCGTGGCGAGCTGCGGCATAGCATCGTGCTGGGCGGGCACAGCTCTCGGGACGTGCGGCTGCCGCTAAACGCCACCGACGTGCCGCTCTGGTGGCCGCACAACGCTGGAGGTTTGGGACCGTCGCTGCTCAATGCGACGGTGCAGGCGCGGATCGGCGGCGCGCTATCCCATTCGGAGGAGTTCCGCGTCGGCGTTCGCACCGCCGAAGCGTACATCGACAACCGCACTGGCGGCCGTGCGTTCCGGGTCAATGGCCAGAAGATCTTCTTGCTGGGCGGCAACTGGATCACGCCCGATCTCCTTCTCCGGTACTCGGCAGACAGGACGCGATATTGCGATGAGGTGCGGCTCCATCAGCGTGCAGGCATCAACCTCCTGCGTGTCTGGGGCGGCGGCGTGAGCGAGCGAAACCCGTTCTACGAGTGCGCGTCCGAGATGGGGCTCTTCGTGTATCAGGAGGTGCCGCTGCCACACTTGCGCGCGCTAGACCTGCTCTGCGTCGCTCCTTCGGCCCCGCCCCTTGCGTCCCTCCTTCGGCCCCTCCTGCCTGACCTCACCTGCCCCTGTCCGTCCGCAGTTCTGGATGAGCGGCGACAACAACGGGCGATGGGCGGGAAGCTACAGCTGGCCACTGGACGACGCGGCCTACTTCGCCAACGCACAAGACACGGTGCGACGCTTGCGGCGCTTTGCGGCGCTGCTTTTCTGGGGCGGAGGCAACGAGCTGTTTCCGCGGAGACTGTCGCCGCCCGTTGCCCTTGAAGAGATTGTGCACCGCGAGGACCCCGGTCGCTTTTACATCGCCTCGTCGATGGACGGAGGCATCAAAGGGGGCAACATGTCCGAGCACGACGACGAGTACGCCCTGGCCCCAAGGGACGGCCCGTATACGATGCTGATGCCGCTGTCGTTCGCACAGCGCAACCCTGGCTTGCACGCCAATCTCACCATCTCCTTCCAGCCGGAGGTTGGCTTCACCAGCGCGCCGAGCTACCGCGGACTCCTCCGCTTCATGTCTGCCACCGAGGCCGAGCAGATCCCAGAGCGCGGCGCGGACTCCGCGTGCCGTGCGGGATCGGCCACCAGCCCGGTGTGGGCTTTCCACAACTACCTGAGCTGGAGCACCGCAAACGGGAGCGGGCCGGGGCAAATCTACGACCACGTCTATGCGTACGGCCAGCCGGCAAACGCTTCGGAGTGGGCGGCCGCCGCCGCGCTCGCGAGCTTTGCACAGTTCCAGGCTCTCGTGGAGGGGTACCAGGCGCACCTCTTCTCTTGGTACGCCTCGATGAGCATCTGGAAGACGCAGACTCCCTGGCCGAGCCTGCGCGGCTTTTTGTACGACTGGTGGCTCGAGCCCACGGGGGCCTTCTACGGCGTCCAAGCGGCGGCCTCCGACCGCGTCCACGCCCAGCTCGATCGTGGCGACTGGGGCGTGCGCGTCGTAAACAAGGATGTTGCGGCGGCTCTGCCCGCATCGTCCGTCACCGCGGAGTGGTTCGGCCTCGACGGCAAGGGTGTGGCGACAGAGACGATGCGAGCACCGCTCGTGGCGGCCAGCAGCAGTCGGGCGGCGGACGGGGTGGTGCATTGGCCCGCAGCCCTGTCTAGGGAGGCTGTGGGGTTCCTCCGCCTCACGCTCCGCGCCAGTCCCACGCCGCACGCAGCGCAGGAGGTGACTCCACTAGAGGGCGGAGAGGGCGAGCCGGCAGCGTCGTGGTACTGGCTCACGCCCGGCGCGGCCCCCGACTATTCTCAGCTGGGCGCGGCACGGCGTGCGCAGAGAGCTCGTTTGCGCCTTCGAGTGCGGAGCTGCTGGCACGCGGATGATGGGCACGTGCGGGCGGCAGCTGAGCTCTGGGTGCCCGAATCTTCGGGCCTCGTCCTCTACCCCCAGCTGACGCTCAGCCTGCCGAGGGAGGGCGAGCTGCCAGCCTCGTGGCAGGAGGGCGACCGCGCAGTGGTGCTGCTGCCGGGCAGAAAACCGTCGGCTAGAATAGTTGTGGCGAGAGTCGGGGCGCGGGCCGGCGGCGTCGTGAGCGTTGTGGCCCGGAGCTGGAACGCGCCGCAGGTGGAGGCGCGGTGCGTGTGCGTGGAGGGTGGCGCAGAAGTGTGATGGCCGCCCCGAGTCTACGATAGGCGTGTATATTATTTTTGAGACCTTTGTGGATTTTTTGTGCTTTGAGTGGCAGTAGGGTGAGAACTGAGATGGGTTGTGCCAGAGCTTTGACACACCTCTCCGAGCGGCTCTCGTGTGTGTCTCGACGGGACTTTTTTCCCCGCTAGAGCGAGATACATCTTACATGCGTGTCCGTGAAATGACCAATAACAAATCCTTGCGCGCGGCTCTATCCCGCACCGTCAAGGGCGCGTTCCCCCCTGCGGCGGCGGGGCGCGGGCGTGCCCACCCAGCGTCGGGAATGAGCGCCGTGCTCGCGCCCACAGAGCACACACACATACATAATCCCCACCCGTACGGTGCATGCGAGACATTGTGACGGCACTGCGCGCCCCGCGCCCGCTCCCTCCCCCGCTCCGGCGCATGCTCACTGCAGGCGCATCAGGGCAGGAGGGGGGGCGGGGCGGGGTCTATGGCCGAGAGACGGGGCTCACGATTGCTGCTGCTCCCTCGCCTCGAAGGGGGGCGGCGGCGGCTGCGGCTGGGCGCTCTGCGCGGCGGCGTGGCGGGCGTTCGCCGGTCGCTGCACGGAGCGGCCGGTTTTCCAGTCCGCGGCAAAGCGCGCCTCGACGTCGCCTGCCTCGACCGCCTCTGGCTCGTGCCCCTCGAGCTGCGCCCAGACCGCGTCGTCGCGCGAGAGCTTGTACTCAAACGCGTCCACCTGCGGGCGTGGCGCGGGCGAGGCGCGTCGGGCGTCGCCGCCCCTCGCGCAGGCTCTCTCCTCGCGCGGCGCGCACCAGCGCGCGCCAGGACGCCTCGATGATGTTGGTGCCCACGCCGACGGTGGAGAAGGTCTCGGCGGTCGCGCGGTCGCGCGAGTCGATGATGACTCGGATGGCGGAGGCGGTGCCTATGGGAGAGGCGCCGTGACGGCTCTCCCGACCGCAGGCTCCGCCGCCACCAGGAGCCGGATGGCGGAGGCAGCGCGCCGGCGATGACGGTGTGGAGCGGCGCCGCGCCGCCGCCCTCGGCGCCGGCCGCGCCGCCCTCGGGCAGCCGCACCACCCGCACCTTGTAGTCGGTGAGGTGCAGGTCCTGCAGGTTCGGGTACGTCGGCTCGAGCGCCTTGCGCAGCGCCGCGTCGAGCGCCGCCACCGGGCCGTTCCCCTCGGCCACCTCGTGCATGTAGCCGCCGCCGGGCAGGGCCAGCTTGACGGTCGCCTCGGAGCGCTCGTACTCCATGTGTGACGCGTCCACCGCCGAGCGCGCCTAGAAGGCTCCTAGAAAGTTCCTAGAAGGCTCCTAGAAGGCTCCGAGAAGGCTCCACCGCCGAGCGCGCGTAGGAGTTTGACCCGTGCCGGATGGAGCCGTACCCCGACACCTCGACCTGGTACCGGATGCGCTTGAAGTGCGGCGTGAAGTTCCGCATCGCCTTGCTCACCACCAGGGCGAAGGACGCGTCCGCCGCCTCGTACTGGTAGCCGAGCGCCTCGCGCCGCTGCACCTCCGCCAGCACCGCCTTGGTCACCTCCGAGTCGACGACGCCGTGTGTGGAGGTGAGCGCGGCGATGTTCGACTTGCCGGACAGCTCAGACACGAGCACGCGCCTACGCAATCTCCGCCCACACACCTCCCCACACCTCCCCACCCCTCTCTCCCTCTCTCCGACCCGAGCGCGCGCCGCGTGTTGCCGACCGTGTCCGGCGGCAAGTGCTCGTACGACTCCGGAGCGAGCGCCATGGCGTGCGCATGCATCCCGCCCTTGTGCGCAAACGCGGAGCGGCCGACGAAGGGCGCGCCGTTGTTGGGCGTGAGGTTGGCCACCTGTTGGGTGATGCTGTTGGATGATGATGTCTGCTAATGGCCGCAGCCGCTCACAGCTGCGGGTGTGGGAACAAGGCGGGGGGGGGGGGGGGGGCGGCGTGCAACTCTGAGCTCCGCGAGAGCTCACGGAGTCGGGGAGATGTGGGGAGATGTGGGGAGGTGTGGGGAGATGTGGGGAGGTGTGGGGAGGTGTGGGGAGATGTGGGGAGATGTGGGGAGATGTGGGGAGATGTGGGGAGATGTGGGGAGATGTGGGGAGATGTGGGGAGATGTGGGGAGGTGTGGGGAGGTGTTGGGAGATTTGGAGAGGTGTGCGGAGATGCGGGCAGGCGTGGGGAGGTGTGGGGAGGTGTGGGGAGATGTGGCGTCGTAGACCACGCGCCGGCCCGAGGCGGCGACGAAGCCGACAGAGTCGGCGATCATCTCGAGGTTCTCCTCGAGGCTGACGCGGAGGACGTCGCGGACCTGTTCACAGCCGCAGCTGTGAAGAGACGCCGTTCACACCCCTCGAGGCTGACAAAAGAAAAAAAAGGACGTGGAAGTCCCAGGTCTTGCCCACGATGGTGCACACCTCCGCCTCCGAGCGCAGCAGCGCCAGCATGCCCTCGTCGTTCGAGGCGGAGATGCCCTTGCGTCGTGTCATGCCTGTACAAGGGGTCGCGGGGCGGCGGCCTGAGAGTCGCGCGCGGCGGCCTAGAGTCGCGCGCTCTCAATCAGGAAAGGGAGCGGCGGCGGTGCAGGCGGCGGCGGAGGCGGCGGTGCAGGCGGCGGCGGCGGCGGCGACGGCGGCTCGCTGGGCGTGAGAGCGGCGGCGAGGGTGAGGGCGGAGGCGGGGGCAGCGGCGGAAGGGGCGAGGGGGCAAGGGCGAGGGCGGCGGCGGCGGCGGAGGAAGGGGCGGGGGCGATCATGGCCACCAAACGCGGCCACAGAGTACGGAGTGGGTACGGAGGACCTAGCGGGGTACGTGCGCGGGCACGGGGTACGCGAAGAGTGGTGGAGGATGTGCGGCAGAAGTTTGTGCGCATCTACCACGCACCAAACGCGGCCACGGTGGCGTGCCGTAGGCTGAGCCGGCGGACCTGCTCGAAGAAGGCGACGTCCTTCTCGTTCGAAAGCGGGTACCCGCCCTACGCGTGAGACATGCCGCCTCAAGGCTCGCGCGCTGCGGCCGAGGCGCTGTGGCACCGCACGCCTCGATATAGTCAAAGCCCATGTCATCGAGGCGCTCGGCGATCGCTAGCTTATCGTGCAGCCTTAGACGGGTGAAGGAGGGGAATCAGGGGTAAGGCGGGGCCAGGCGGGGTTCAAGCGGGGTCCAGCGGGGTCGACCGCATCCGGGTGGCGGAAATGAAAGGGCGAGAGGGACGCGGGAGCTGACTCACGATAAGCTTATTCCCTCGCCCTGCGTGCCGTCGCGCAGCGTGGTGTCGTACAGCTTTATCCGCCGTGCGGCACCGGCGGCGCCGCTGCTGAATGTGCGGGTCGCACTCCGGCCAGTGCCTAGCACTCCGCCCCTGCTGTGCACCCGAAGCACCGATCGGAGGGCCATCACCCGAGAAGCAGTCTCCAAAAAAGAAAATACGGCTTTCAGTTCCTCTCGCGCTGGCCGCTTGTGATCAAGCAGCTCACGGGCGCGGCGGTGGAGCCGGACTGGAGCCTCGCCGAATGCGGGCTCGCCTCGGTTGCTGGACCCGTCCTCGTGGCACGGCTGCAGGCGGCCATACCCGGCGTGACCACATCTCTCGCCGACCTAATCGAGGTGGACACCGTCGGCGGCCTCGCCGAGCTGCTCGGGAGTCGGCGAAAAGAGTCGAACGCGCGAACGGCGTCGGCTCGTAGTGCGGAGACAGCCCGCGCCGATGGTGGTCCGCACATCGAGTTGGAGGGCAGTGAGCATGCTGCACCGTCGCCCTCGCTGATGCCAAAACATCAGTGCTCGCGGTGGGCGTCCTTGGAGTGCGCTGTTTGGCTGTCCGCACCTGTGAGACCTGTGGAGTAGGCATCTCCACGATGTAGCTCTAGCTGTGGTTTAGGATTCCGTTCGCCGCATGTCCGACAGCGCTGGGGCGGGAGCGTAAGACTTTACGACCCGCGGCAACACGGGCAGCACGCAGCAGCTCGCGCAGGGGTCCGGGATCGGTCCCGGGGGGCGCACACACGGGAGAGGGCGGGCACCGAGCACTGCGCGTTTCGCATCATGGCAAACTCACACGGACAACAACACTCTGGCAGAGTAACTCTCGCTACTCTCGCAGAGTGGTTTCTCAAGCTCCTTCGCCTCCGGCGACGTCAGCACCGCATGCCGCGGTCTGCAGAGACGCGGGACGAAAAGATCGCCCTGCTCGGCGGGAAGCCCACCGGTTGCAGTAGAGCGAGCAACAAGGGCACCGACGGGGTAATTGTCGGCGAGAGTCCCCGCGATGGTGATGTCCATGTCGCTCTTGCCATTCCGGGCTCCAAAGCAATTCCACAGACGGCTGAAGGCTCCGCGGTGGGTTGCGACGGCCTCGACCTCGTATTTGTCGCCGTCGAGGTCGAGGACCGAGCCCACTGCCACCCAATTGCGGAGGCCGCGCACACTCACGTGGAGGGTTGTGCCGCCACGGGCGGCGATGTGCGCAAGGTAGAGCCTGGTCTGCCAGTACCCCACGCAGCAGCAAAGGGCGATGGCGACAAACAGGATGGCGCTGACGACAATGGCAGCAATGGCGCCGGGCCCGAGACCACCGCCGCCAGAGGGGGGGGAGGGAGGAGGCGGAAACGGCTCATCGGTAATGGGTTGGATATCCGGTGGGGGTGGCGAGGGCGGGGGCGGAGTTGGTGGCGGAGGCAGCTGCGAGGGCGGTGGCGGAGCTGGGGGCAGAGAGAGTGGCGGCAGAGCTGGGGGCGGCTCGGGACACAGGCTGCTGCCGTTGCTGTAGTTGGGATCGCCCCCGACAAAGTATTGTGCAGTACAGGGACCGCACCAGAATGCGGCAGAGCAGCAGCGATCGACGCCACAAGAGGCGTCTGAGAAGTCGGCACCACAGCGGTAATTCACGGTGCGCTCGTGGGGGTGGCACAGCGGCGGGGGCGAGGGCGGAGGCGGTAACGGCTCATCGGTAATGGGTCGGATATCCGGTGGGGGTGGCGAGGGCGGGGGCGGAGTTGGTGGCGGAGGCGGCTGCGAGGGCGGTGGCGGAGCTGGGGGCGGGGAGAGTGGCGGCAGAGCTGGGGGCGGCTCGGGACACAGGCTGCTGCCGTTGCTGTAGTTCGGATCGCCCCCGACAAAGTATTGTGCTGTACAGAGACCGCACCAGAATGCGGCAGAGCAGCAGCGATCGACGCCACAAGAGGCGTCTGAGAAGTCGGCACCACAGCGGTAATTCACGGTGCGCTCGTGGGGGTGGCACAGCGGCGGGGGCGAGGGCGGAGGCGGAGACGGCGGTGGCGGCGACGGGGGCGACGGGGGCGGTGGCGGCGCGACAACCACCTCGATGACGTTGGGCGTCGATTCGAGAGCAACAGGCTCGCGCATCTGCTCGTTCATGTTCTTGGTGAAGTCTTGCGAATTAGTGCTTTCGGCGATCTCCTCCGCGGACGGGCCCTGCCCGCCGAGATCAACGATGACTACTGACACAACGCGCGGAGTGTCCGAGGGCTCCGAGATCTCCGTGACGGTGATCTGCTCTTCCGTGATGGTGAGAGGGGGGTCGAGGGCGGCGTAGGAAGCAATCAACGCCGTCGTAACATTGGCCGTAAACTCCGACAGCTGCCGCCGCCGGCCACTGTCGGTGCAGCCGGCGGGAAAGATCGCTTCAGACGCCGAGCACACGGCCTCGCCGACCTCCATTGTGAAATTGGCGGCGGTTTCAAAGCTTTCCCCTGGCGCCAATGGCGGCCGGGGGGGGGCGGGAGGAGGGGATGGCGGCTTGGGGACGGCGGGAGGAAGGGATGGGGGGGCGGTGGGCGGCTCGGAGGGCGGCTCGGCGGGAGGATCAGGATCAGGATCAGAGGGAGGAGCGGCGGGAGGCTCGAACGGCGGCTCTGCGGGCGGTACCTCGTCCAAATCGATGTCTGACAGCGCGCGCTGCCGTCGGAGACTCTCTGGGCCGCCGCGTTGCGCCACGTGGGTGAGAAGGAGGTTCCTCCCCGCAGCATCAAACTGCGGCCGAGTGCGAGAGGTGCGGGTCTCAGGGAGGAGGTGGCCGGAGAAGAGGGTGGGGTGGGGGGGGGGGTTAGGCAGCGGCGCGGGATGTCTAGGCAGCGTCTCGCAAGATCTCGGTCCCACCTGGGCAAGGTAAGGGGTGAGGCGGAGGATGTTGAAGCGCGAGAGTGCGTGCGTGCCGCCGGCGGGGCTCTCATCGAGCGCGTCGTCGTCCGAGTTCCACGTCGCCGACTCCATCTCGAGCTCGTCGATGGTCTTGAATTTGAGCTGCGATCCGGTGCAGAGCCCAGCGAGTGTCGCCTTGAGTTCGGAGATGTGCGAGACTGATGCGACAACGACGTGGAGCACGAGGCGGTCGGGGTGCGACGCGGCCGCGCAGACGGAGCGGAGCGTCATCGCGCACTCGCGCACGCGGTCGGTGAAGAGCGTCACCCCAACCGGCTCTGCCGCCCTCTCCCGCCGAATTCCACCAGCCGCACCTCCTGGCGAGGCGACTGGGACTGGCGGGGGAGTTGGGGGTGGGGCGATGGGTGGTACTGGTAACGGCCCAGCCAGCGGCGGCGGCGGCGGCGGCGGCGACGGCCGCAAGAATGGTGGGGGCAGCTGCGTTGGCAAGGGCGGTGGCATTGGCGGCGGACGCACAGATAATCCCTCGCGAGGTGAGGGGCTGGAGACCAGCGAGGCAACTTGCGCCTCGGCACTGAGCGGCGGGAGCGCCGCGCCCGCAACGGCGGCGACGGCGCCCAACACGAGGTGGGCCATATGTGTGCGCTGTGTGTCGGCCCGCAGCTGCAAAATAGGCGGCGCGGCGCGCCCGCCGGAAAGCCAGAAAGCGACAACCTGAATTCCGCGCAAAACACGAAATATATAATATTAATTCTTTTTTCAAATAGCCTTGTTGCCACCTACCTACCTATCTGAAGGCCAGAACAGGGGGTTTCGTATGCTGGGTTTAGGTTTCGATGAAAACAGAAATGCGCGCCACCGAAAGGTGCTCGAGGTTGTCAAACTGCGCGCCGGCGAACAGCTTGTGGTGCCATCGCTCGTCGCGAACTCCTTGGGGAACGTCTGCAGCTCGGCGATCGACAACGACATGTCGCGGTGCAGCTTCGGCAGGGCGGCAGCCGGCACTGCCTCGAGAGCGGTAGCCGCGTCGCCCACATATGTCGGCAAGAACCGCGGCACGAGAACGAGCGTGTCCGTTAGATCTTAAACATTTTGTTGACTTTTTAGACTCTGAAGAGAAACGCAGGGTGGCCGGACCTATCTGAAGGCCCAAACACGACCCGCGGACAGGGGGGTACCTACCTTGCTATTCCGAGCGCTCGTTCGTGGAGCAGACCCCCTATTCGGCATGGAGCCCGAATCCTGCTGCAGGGTGCGTTCACACAAAAATGCTATCCATTCTTGCCGCCACGACCGCCTTGGGTAGGGTGCCCACAGGACCCAAAAGAAAATGCTATCCATTCTTGCCGGCACACTGTGAGAGCATAGGTGTGAGGGGTAAAGTAAGACCACGCTCTACCAGCGCTTGGTCACATCGGCCCCGAGGTCAGATCCTTCTACTCTGTTAGTGACAAGACTTGTCTACTGGCTGGAGCCGAGCAGGAGGGCCCGGCGCACAACCCCTGGTCAACTCACGGTCCACACCCCGTATACAGGGGTTCATGTCATGGCTCATGCACACTTCGCAGTAAACAGGGAGCTGGGCTAGTAAACAGGGAGCTGGGCTAGTAAACAGGGAGCTGGGCTAGTAAACAGGGAGCTGGGCTAGTAGCTGTGGGCACCTCGACCAGTGCTTGTAGCTACTGGGAGTTGCCTCGACCAGCAGCCGGTGCAGCCACAGGGCACTAGACCAGGGGGCTACGCACTAAGCCGGCGAACACACAGCAGCGTCGCACAGGCTGTAGGGGACATGCAACGTTCACACAGGCGTCCGGTCTAGGCCAAGTCTGAACTCACTTCTACGCGACGCTCTTGTCGACGGGGAGAGTGTCCTTCTTTGGCTCCTCGGCCGACGCCGCCTTCTTCGTCATGCAGTAGCGCGTGGCCACAGCGGCAATGAGGGCGACTCCGAACAGGCCGCCCACGGCGGTCGCAGCGATCAAGACCGTGCTCTTGTCGTCGTCGTCGTCATCGCCCGGGCCGAGGACTGTGAGAGGCGGCGAGGGAGGCGGCGAGGGAGGTGGCAATGGAGGAGGCGGCGATGGCGGCGGCGGGGGGGGAGGAGGCGAAGGCGATACGTGCGGCGCCGGAGGCGGCGACACGGGCGGCACCAGAGGGGGCACGAGTGGACTGGCAGTCTTCTTGGCAGCCTTCTTGACATTGCGACTCTTGAGGGAGTCCGGCTCTCCACAGACCACGCCGTCCGTCCTCGCGCAGATCCACTCACTAGCGTGGGAGACGCGCGCGTAGACGCCCGGGAAGTCGGCGTCGGCGCAGCCGATGCCCCAGCTCACGATGCCCGTGAGCACGTAGTTGCCGTCGGCGTCGATGCCGAAGAGGGGGCCACCCGAGTCGCCCTGGCACGCGTCCTCGCCGCCATTCACGGTGTCGCCGGCGCAGATCATCGTGTCGTCAATCTGGCCACTGTAGTCAACGTTGCAGTCCTCATTCTGGACCACCGGCACGTCGACCTCCATGGCCTCCGGCGAGGACACGCCGCCGGAGGACATGGTGCCCCAGCCGGCGACGGTGAGCATGGCGAGGTGCTCCTGGAAGGGCGTGTCCATGCCCGGGCCGTCGAGCAAGTCGATGGGCGCATAGCCGGTCACAGGCGTGGCGAGCTTGAGCAGCGAGACGTCGTTGCTTTCTGAATTGGGAGAGCCGTAGTCCTCGTGGTTGAAGATCTCCGCCACCTCGTGCAAGGAGACACACGGGTCGGTGTTCACGTCGGCGACGACGTGCATGCCGACGGCCACGCGGCCGACGGTGCCTTGCGTGCAGTGCGCGGCGGTGAGCACCCAATCGGGCGCGATGAGCGTGCCGCCGCAGTAGTGTTTGCCGATAAAGGAGCCCGGGCCGTCGAGCGAGACGAGCCAGGTGTACCTGTCAGCAGACGGCGGCGGGTAGCGAGCGGAGCGCGGCGTTGGCGCGGGAGGGCGGGGCGGGCATGTACTTGCGCGCGGGGTTGACGGGAGCGCCGCCGACGATCTTGGGGACGTCGACGACGGCCTTGGATGCGACCGCCGAGGTGGCGAAGCAGTAGCCCGGCAGCGGCGGCTGCGGCGGCTGGGACGGCGGCTGCGGAGAGGACGGAGGCAGGGGTGCGAGGGTGAAGGTCGCGCTGCCGGAGGATCCGGAGTCGAGCGTGAACGTATTGCCCGCACCCTCCCACTGGTCGCCGTTCCAGCCGTCGCCGTACGAGTCGTTCATGTCGAGCGTGCACTCGCCGGGCGGCGCGGACAGGGTGCCGGAGTAGGGGGCCCCTCCACTGCCGATCAACGCGCCGCTGCACATCAGGGTCCACGACACCTCGGACGGGTAGCTGCCGCCAGCCACGGTGACCTGGAACTCGATTGAGAGGGCCGCCGGAGAGGCGGACGGCGGCGGCGGCGATGGCGACGCGGACGATGGCGGCGGCGCCGGAGAGGCGGAGGGCGGCGGCAGCGACGCAGACGGCGGCGGCGATGGCGACGCGGATGGCGGCGGCGGAGGGGCGGCGGCCTCGCTCTCCGTGCCTGACCAGATCAGATCGCGGTCGTGGCCGCAGCCTGACCCGCGTGCGCAATTCCCCTGCAGCTCCGCCCGAGTACACAGGCGTGCGCCCGCGTCCTCGCAGATGGTCGAGGCCTGCGCAAAGTTCTTGTTGTGGTGGCACTTGCCTCCCATCTCATCGTCGTCGGACTCGCTCCACACGGAGCACCCAGCTTTCTTCTTCCAGCCGTCGATTCGCGAGTCGGAGCAACACCGCACCTCGTGCTTCTCGGAAGGAGCCGCCCACCGGTCGCTCTCGTCGCACCGGCCAGTCCTGCCACACGCCACGTAACGTGGCGAGCCCGCAGGCGGCGCAGGTGGCGGCAACGGCGGCGGCGGCGGCAGGGGTGCGAGGGTGAAGGTCGCGCTGCCGGAGGATCCGGAGTCGAGCGTGAACGTATTGCCCGCACCCTCCCACTGGTCGCCGTTCCAGCCGTCGCCGTACGAGTCGTTCATGTCGAGCGTGCACTCGCCGGGCGGCGCGGACAGGGTGCCGGAGTAGGGGGCCCCTCCACTGCCGATCAACGCGCCGCTGCACATCAGGGTCCACGACACCTCGGACGGGTAGCTGCCGCCAGCCACGGTGACCTGGAACTCGATTGAGAGGGCCGCCGGAGAGGCGGAGGGCGGCGGCGGCGATGGCGACGCGGACGGTGGCGGCGGCGCCGGAGAGGCGGAGGGCGGCGGCGGCGACGCAGACGGCGGCGGCGATGGCGACGCGGATGGCGGCGGCGGAGGGGCGGAGGGCGGTGGCGGCGATGGCGACGCGGACGGGGGCGGCGCCGGAGAGGCGGAGGGCGGCGGCGACGGCATCGAGGACGGCGGCGCCGATGGTGAGGACCCATTCTCCAACTCCCAGCAGATCTGCGGCATATGGGATGGGGCTTGATAAGTGCGACGGTTGGGGGTGGGGGTTGGGGGGGCGGGGAGTGGGTGCACGCGCGCCTTCCAGCCTTTGGCGGTGACCGAGAAGTCAGACACCCATTGCACGGCGCCGGCGGGCTCCCCGTTCGGCGGGCCGGAAGTGCCGCAGTACTTCACGCCGTTGACTTCAAGGTAGTCGTATTGGCAGCTTGTTTCGTCCTCCACTTCAAAAGCCTCGACAGTATTTGCCGGCGGCAAGCAAGTGATGGTGCAGCCCTTGTCGTTCGGGTAGTCGCCCGGAAAGCCGGGCGAAGTGACACACGAATGCGTGCCGTTCTTGGTGAGTGAGCATGGGCCGCTGTCGACGCTGACCGAGCAAGGTGCCAACGGCGGCGGCGGCGGCGGCGAGGCGGAGGGCGCGAGGGTGAACGTCGCGCTGCCGGTGGATCCGGAGTCGAGCGTGAACGTATAGCCCGCACCCTCCCACTGGTCGCCGTTCCAGCCGTCGCCGTACGAGTCGTTCATGTCGAGCGTGCACTCGCCGGGCGGCGCGGACAGGGTGCCGGAGTAGGGGGCCCCTCCACTGCCGATCAACGCGCCGCTGCACGTCAGGGACCACGAAACCTCGTACTGCCAGCTGCCGCCAGCCACGGTGACCTGGAACTCGATTGAGAGGGCCGCCGGAGAGGCGGAGGGCGGCGGCGGCGATGGCGACGCGGACGATGGCGGCGGCGCCGGAGAGGCGGAGGGCGGCGGCGGCGACGCAGACGGCGGCGGCGATGGCGACGCGGATGGCGGCGGCGGAGAGGCGGAGGGCGGCGGCGGCGATGGCGACGCGGACGGCGGCGGCGGCGCCGGAGAGGCGGAGGGCGGCGGCAGCATCGGAGAGGCGGAGGGCGGCGGCGACGGCATCGAGGACGGCGGCGCCGATGGTGAGGACCCATTCTCCAACTCCCAGCAGATCTGCGGCATATGGGATGGGGCTTGATAAGTGCGACGGTTGGGGGTGGGGGTTGGGGGGGCGGGGAGTGGGTGCACGCGCGCCTTCCAGCCTTTGGCGGTGACCGAGAAGTCAGACACCCATTGCACGGCGCCGGCGGGCTCCCCGTTCGGCGGGCCGGAAGTGCCGCAGTACTTCACGCCGTTGACTTCAAGGTAGTCGTATTGGCAGCTTGTTTCCTCCTCCACGTCAAAGGCCTCGACAGTATTTGCCGCCGGCAAGCACGTGATGGTGCAGCCCTTGTCGTTCGGGTAGTCGTTCGGGAAGCCGGGCGAGGTGACACACGAATGCGTGCCGTTCTTGGTGAGTGAGCATGGGCCGCTGTCGACGCTGACCGAGCAAGGTGCCAACGGCGGCAGCGGCGGCGACGGCGGCGGCGGCGGCGGCGACGGCTGCGACGGCTGAAGTTGCGTGATTCGGTCGACGTAAGTGATGCCTTCTCCCCCTGCAGAGTTCGGGAGCTCGTTGACGACCGTGCACCCCCGCTCGTCGTCAGACACGTAGTCTGTCACTCCGCGCACCTAAGTAAGTTGCAAGGTACTAGTAAAGCGCCCTTAGCAGCACGATGCGTATGAGCAGCGTTGCGTGCACCAAGACGCCGATCATTGTTCCGCGTTCGTCAAAGACGCCGCTGCCCGAGTTGCCTGCGGGGTCGGAGTGGGGGGCTTGGGAGGGGGGGGGGGGGGGGGAGGAAACTAGGTGCACCGCGCAGCCGTGGGGCGCCTCCAAACGCGTCGGTCGAGGCTGTAAAGAACTCGTACCCGTTCGAACTCCCAGTGTCTGTGACCGCACCGCCGTCCTCCACTTTTGCCGGCAGCCCGTCGGGGAAGCCAATCATCAGCAGCTTCTGTCCGAACGTGGTCGGGACCTGCGATTTTTGGTAGATGGGGGGAGTGCGGCCGCCGACCACAGCCCGGTCCAGCTTGATGAGGGCGATGTCGGTGCCGCCGTCCGCAAAGTCGGTGGTGACGCTGGAGCAAAGGTACACGTCGTCGGTGGTGATCTCCGGGAAGGTGGGGTCGCCGTTCTTGTCGTACCCGGTGACGTAGTACTTGAAGACGTACGCTGCGTTGTCGCAGTCGAACTGGTCCTCCACGCAGTGGCCGGCCGTGATCACTCTGTCCTCGCCGACCCAAGTGGCCGAGCAGTAGGAGAGCCTCGGGTCGCGCAGGAATCGCTGATCGTCGCACATGCCCCGCGCCGGCCCGAGCCGGCCGAAGTCCGGGTAGTCGTCCAGCACGCGATACACGCCGTCCGAGTCGGGGCTGCCGAGGTCCGAGCGGATGACGTGCGCCATGATTGCGTTCTCAAGGAGCGACTAAAGGGTGACGGTGGCGGAGACGAAGGGATGGGAGGCGAGGGCGGGAGGCGAGGGCGGAGAAGGAGGGTGGCGGCGGAGACGCGCCTTGGCCATTACGTCGGCAGCATCGTTGTCATTCAGCGCGTAATGGTCACGCCGATCATCACTTCCGTACACGACCCTTGGCCCTGGGGTGGGGCCCGCCACAGGTCCTCGTCCTGGGGCCGCAGCTCCGAGGACGACGAGAGCTAGCATGTACAGTTTTGCTGGCGATCCACGTACACGCGCGTTCTGCTGGCGATTCGGATGATACCCGGGTAGTGGATGCTCGCTTTTTTCGGTACCCTTTAAGTGCGCTCCGGTGTAAGAGGCCGATGCAGGGCAGGTCCCCAATCACGCCCTGGTGTGAAACTCGTGCTCCACCGCGCCGCGCCCAAGCTTGCCCCGCAGCAAGTCGACAGGTCCAGGAGGACCTCCTTGTGCCGCGCGTCTGGTGGCCCGCCGCGCCGTCGTTCTGCGCCACGTCGCCGAGGGCGTCAAAGGGCAGATCGTGCTGGCTGTAGATGCCGTCCGCATAGCGGGTCAGCAAGCCCTAAAACGGCGGGAGGGGTAGGGCTAAATCGATAGAGCTAGAGGGCTCAACCACCCCTCCACCCCTCCACCCTCCACCCCTCCACCCTCCCGGAGCGAGAGGGGTCCGTCCTCGAGCCCTCCCACTTCCACCCCTCCGACCGGAGGGCTCGCCAGCCCACAGGGCTGGAGGGGTCCCCGTCGGATCGGCGTCGGGAGGGCTCCACAGGGTCCCATAGGGCTAGCGCGCTGGGAGGGTGGAGCGGTCCACCGGGGAGAGGGGTCAGGAGGGCTGGGCGAGGCGGGAGGGGTGGTGGGGTCCAGGAGGGCTCGCGCCCCCCCGAGCTCGGGTGGTAGGCAAGAGGGCTCGGTCGCCGGGTGGGCTCGGAGGGACGGTCGGACAAAGAGAGGATCTTCGTGGCGGGAGGGCTCGAGAGGGGTCGTAAGGGCCTCCGGGAGGGTTCGCAAAAAAAGAATGGCGCGGCGCTTCCGAGTGCCCGCCATGAGGGTGGCGGGGCAAGGGCCAGGCTTCCCCTCGCGACTCCACGTCTAACGTCAGGAGCCGCCACGGCATTCAATCAAGTGTAAGGCCCAGTGCGCGTGGGTGAGCGGGGTGTGTCAGTGTGCGTGCGTGCGTGCGTGCGTGTGTGTTGTGGAGTTCTTTTCGCTTCTAAAATTCTTTTGGCACGATGTCCACCCGCCCGCCGTCTTTTCCTCGCGATGTCCACCCCGCCGCGCCGCCGCTCGCGCCGCCTCGCCTCCGCCTCAGCCGCCGCTCCCTCTCCAAGCACGCCGCCGCCCACCCGCCTCCTCGACCTCCCCACGGAGCTCCTCGTGCGCGCCATCTCTCGCTGCGACCCCGCCGACATCGCTCGCGTCGCGGCCGTCTCGCTGCTCTTCCACGCCTCGCTTGCGCTGGAGGGCATCCGCTTGTGGGCGCAGGAGCGCGACTTCGAGCTGCCGGCGCAGCCAGAGGGCGAGAGCTGCGCCGTGCGGTGGCTGTGCTATTCGGCGCTGCTGCGCAAGGCCAACCCGCCGGCGAGGGCGGCAGCAGGCCAACGGCACAGCGTCTTCATCGACGGCGAGGGGCGGCTCTCGTCGTGCGGCAAGACGCTCTTCTATCCAGGACTACTCGGCCACGGCGAGGGCGTGTCGCGGCTCAACACGCCGACCCGCCTCCCGTCGACGCTGGGTGGCGAGCGCGCAGTGAACGTGTCGGCTGGAGGATACCACAACCTCGCCCTCACCGGCAGCGGCGCCGTCTGGAACTGGGGCTATGGAGGCTGGGGCCAGCTGGGCCACGGCGACACGCAGCGCCAGTGCGAGCCGAAGAAGATCGAGGCCTTGGCGGGCAAGAGCGTCATTGCCGCGGTGGCTGGAGGTTCTTACAGCCTTGCCCTCACCGCTGACAGCGCCGTCTGGAGTTGGGGCGCAGGACACCAAGGCCGGTTGGGCCACGGCGATCAGCAGAACCAGCTGCTGCCCAAGAAGGTCGAGGCCTTTGCTGGCCAGCGCGTCAACGCTGTGTCGGCGGGAACCGGCCACGGCCTCGCCATCACCGCCGACGGCAACGTCTGGAGCTGGGGCGATGGAAGCTATGGCAAGCTGGGCCACGGCGACACGCAGAACCAACTGCTGCCCAAGAAGGTCGAGACTTTTGCTGGCCAGCGCGTCAGCGCCGTGTCGGCTGGAGGGTCGCACAGCCTCGCCCTCGCCGCCGACGGCGGCGTCTGGAGCTGGGGCTGGGCGGTCGAAGGCAGGTTGGGCCACGGCGACGCGCAGAACCAGCTGCTGCCCAAGAAGGTCGAGGCCTTGACTGGCCAGCACGTCGTCGCTGTGTCGGCCAATGAGTACCACAGTCTCGCCCTCACCGCCGACGGTGCCGTCTGGAGCTGGGGCCGTGGAGTCGACGGCAAGCTGGGCCACGGCGACGAGCAGAGCCAGCTGCTGCCCAAGAAGGTCGAGGCCTTCACTGGCCAGCGCGCTGTGGCCGTATCGGCTGGGTGGCAGCATAGCCTCGCCATCACCGCCGATGGCGCTGTCTTTACCTGGGGCAAGGGTGAATACGCCTGCCTAGGCCACGGAGAGGACCAGTCGGACCAGCTGCTACCCAAGAAGGTCGAGGTGTGGGCGCCGGGGCAGTGATGAGAAGAAGTAGGGTGCAAGGCTCTGTGTTTCCGCGTCGGCCACGTGCCTATTCGCCACCTGCGAACGTATCCGAGAATGGAGAGAGGCGAATCCGGGACGGAAGATGAGATTTGTGCATTGTGGCTGTGATGTGGGGCTCGAGGCCTTGGCTGGCCAGCGCGTCGTCGCCGTGTCCGCTGGGTTCCGCCACAGCCTCGCCCTCGCCGCCGACGGCGCTGTCTTTACCTGGGGCCACGGCTTCCACGGCTGCCTAGGCCATGGAGAGGACCTGTCGAACCAGCTGCTGCCCAAGAAGGTCGAGGCGCGCGACGCCAGCGGTGGAGAGCCGTGAATCTCCGGTCCGGTCTACGTCTTGTACAGTACGTGAGTCGCGTCTCGAAGGAGAGTCTCTCGAATCTCGTGAAGTATCGGCGAGGCGTGTCGCGGGCGTCCGACGCGGTGATTCTTTTGAAAGAAACGAAATAAGCCAGCCGCCCTGACACCTGAGAGCTCGAGGCCTCGCCCCCCTCGTCCCTCGAGCGCCGACTGCCCCCTGTGTTTCGCCTTCCTAACTAAGTAACTAACTGGCACGAAGAATTTTACAACCCCCAAGTGCTCCAAAACTCTAAAAAGGGCTATTCTCGTCCAATCTGTCGCTTCACACCTTTTGCCCCCCCGCTGCTGCTGCCATCTGCCCCGGCTTGCGCGACAAGGCGGCGCATCGTGTGTGTGTGTTGAGAAGTGTACCTCACCTTACCTGACCCCAGGTCTTCACCATCGTCAACTCGGACGAGGAGCAGTCCCAGTACCAGAACCTCTCATCGACGGCGCGTGGGTGTGAAACCTGGTTTGTGGAGCTCCCGCAACTGTCCTGACAGTCCTGACAGAGTCCTGACAGAGTCCTGACAGAGTCCTGACAGAGTCCTGACAGAGTCCTGACAGAGTCCTGACAGAGTCCTGGCGGGGTCCTGACGGCTCACGGTCTTCACAGTGCTCACAAGTGCCTCCGAAGAGACTTCCACCTTCCTTCACTGCAACCCTCCTTCCCCCCCCCCCCCCCAGCAGTGAATGATAGACGCCCAGCCCCCCTTTCGACCGTGCGCGCCCTCTGCGGAATCGTCCTGATGGGGCAGTCCTGACGCAAACTTGAGAGTCCTGACAAGCAAACTTGAGAGTCCTGACAGAAACTTGAGAGTCCTTACAGAACTTAGAGTCCATACAGACAAAAGAAATCACCGTGGGTCTCGCGCCACTCGGCTCGACCATGAAAAGCGCACAAGCAAGAGAGGCGCGGCCATGGTGCAGGCAACGTTACAGCCGGCAACGTGCATAGGCAGCAAAGCTCGGCCACGACGTCCATGGCCCGCGCGCCCCCGATTTGCCACCGGCTGACTGACTGCTGACCGAGGCAGCGCCCACGGCAGCGCCCACGGCAGCGCCCACAGCAGCACCCACGGCAGCACCCACGGCAGCGCACACGGCTTGGCTGGCCATGTCAGCCGCGCAGGGACCCTCCCGCGGGTCCAACCCGAAGCGCTCGACCGCTCGACAGCGCAAGTCGGCTGACGGAGCGAGCCGCATAGCCCTCCAGTGCTCACCGCAGGATCAGGCCTGACCGGCCCACGCTCACGGCCTGGCCTGCCTGTGGACCAGCAAACTCGTTGGCTGTACGCGAGGAAAGAGCTGCGTGGCTGGGTCGATACCGTCCCCGTGCGCCCTTTCCCTCAGTGGAGGGCCGTCCCTGCCCTCGGGAGTAACTCGACTGTACACCCCTCCCTACTCTCTAGCTAAGGGCTCTATTCACAGCGGGGGGACAGTGGTTGTCCTGGCGGAGTCCTGACGGAGTCCTGACAGAGTCCTGACGGAGTCCTGACAGAGTCCTGACAGAGTCCTGACAGAGTCCTGACGGAGTCCTGACAGAGTCCTGACAGAGTCCTGACGGCCTATTTTGGAGTTTTTCAACTTTGAGGTATTGTAACTATGTGAAGGCACTATGAATGCATCAGTTCTTTGGGAGAGTGCAATCCATTTAGTTATTACCTCCAACTCAAAAAAAGTCTGGTGGCAAAAACGGGCAATGGGGTCCCTTATGGTGGCCTCTAAGGAGGGCTCGCCCCCCCCCGAGCTCGGGTGGTAGGCAAGAGGGCTCGGTCGCCGGGTGGGCTCGGAGGGACGGTCGGACAAAGAGAGGATCTTCGTGGCGGGAGGGCTCGAGAGGGGTCGTAAGGGCCTCCGGGAGGGTTCGCAAAAAAAGAATGGCGCGGCGCTTCCGAGTGCCCGCCACGAGAGGGTTAGAGGGGTCGGAGGGGTTTAGAGGGCTGGAGGGCTGCAGGCCTGCTGCCCGCCCATGGACGCGGGTCAACGGCGACGGCGCACGTGATCGAGGGACCGGCGACGGCGAATGAGCTGGTCTCTGCGCCGCACGACTTCACCCACGTTCGCGACTGTGGCCATCCAACAGTCTGCCGGCGCGGCGGGCGCATTCGAATGCGCCGGCCGCGCCGGCAGACTGCCAGTGCTATCCGGGCGGGCCTGCTGCGGCAGGGCGCTGCAACGCCGCCGCCTCGCCGCCACAGCAGCGCCGCCCCCGCATGGCTGCCGCCAGCAATGTCGCCGCCAGCCGCCGCCCCCAGCCGCCGCCGCCAGCTGCCGCCAGCACTGCAGCGACAGCTCTCTCTGCTGCCCAGGCGCCGCCGCGGCCACGAGTGTCACCGCCACGAGTGCCGCCGCCGTCAGCGTCGCCATGGCCGCTGCCGCCGCCAGGCGGGCGAGCGAGGAGCTCCATATGAGTGTGTGTGTCTGGGGAGGCTGTGTGGCGCTTCCGTTTTAGCGGAGAAACCCCAGGTATTTCGACCAAACGCGCTTCGTGTTTGCCTTGAGGAGCGCAGCGACGAGTCCGTAAGGAGCGGCCCCAGCTTGCTGGGTGCGGCGCCGCCGCGCGCCGTATCGAGAGACTCTGTCGGGGCAGGTTAAAATAGCGCCCGCAGGATCCTCCCGCCCGGGCCGTCCGCGCACAGACCACGGAAACGCCACTTCCGTATGCCTGCAGGGTATCTTTAACCGAGCCCTCCGAGCCCTCCACACCCCTCCACACCCCTCCGACCCCTCCGACCCCTCCGACCCCTCCGACCCCTCCGACCCCTCCGACCCCTCCACACCCCTCCGAGCCCCCCGAGCCCCCCGAGCCCTCCGACCCCTCCGACCCCTCCGACCCCTCCGACCCCTCCGACCCCTCCGACCCCTCCGACCCCTCCGACCCCTCCACACCCCTCCGCGAGCCCTCCGAGCCCCCCGAGCCCTCCGACCCCTCCGACCCCTCCGACCCCTCCGACCCCTCCGAGCCCCCCGAGCCCGGCTCGGTGGCTCGCCCCTCCGAGCCCTCCGGGCACTCCATCCCTCATGAGCCCTCCCGAGCCCTCCCGAGCCCTCCAGCGCCACCCTCGTGCCTCTCTGCCCTCCGAGCCCTCCGAGCCCTCCGAGCTCTCCACCCCTCCCGAGCCCCACCCCTCGCGCTAGGGACCCTCTTGCCGGACGACACCCTCCGAGCCCTCCAAGCCCCCCGAGCCCTCCAGACCCCTCCATCCGCACAGCCCCTCCGGCCCCTCTAGCCCCCTCCGACCCCTCCAGCCCTCTCTAGCCCACTGGACCCCTCCCACGCCTCGCTTTTGGCCAGCCCTCCAAGCCCCCACCCCTCCTGGGCCCTGCCGCCTGACACCTCTATCGGTGGAGGGCTTTAGGTCACGGTCCACACTCCCGCCCTCCCGACCCCTCCACACCCCTACAGCGGCACCCCTACCCCTCCCACCGTTTTAGGGCCTCCTGACCCGCACTCCGCTGCTTGGTGTTTCTGAACACGCCTAGACGACCACGCTGTGGGGGTTGTGTTATAGGAGTAGGAGTGGGGTGCAGGTTGTGCTCACCCACGGCACCGGGCCGGTGCTTGCACTTTGAATGCCGTGGGGCTCCTGCCCGTGTCCGGGCGTGGAGATGCGAGGGTCGCCCCCCCTTGCCCCACCACTTTGTGTGTGTGGAGACGTTTACCTTACCTTACCTTACCTTTCGAGCGGTCCCCTGTCGCAGTCGCACACACGCACACGCCGCACCGCACCGCGCGCCCGCCCGCTGCCCCGCCCAGGCGGGAAAGAGATGAGGAGATGGGACATTTTTTTTTGCTTCTCAACAGAAGCGGCCGCGACGCGACACCGCGAATCCCGCTCTACATGCGCGGGCTCATCAGATTCTTACTCGCGTTCTTGCTCGACTTTCCCAGCCTCACGAGTCACGCGTGTATTCTCTTTTTGCGTGGCCGGAGACCATGAGCATGAGCCATGGGGTAGGAGTGTTGTTGCGGTCGGTAGGGTAGGTCTGGGCCCTCCTGGTCGGGTTTTCCCTCTCTTCCCGCCGGACATACAGAAAAAACTCGTCCGCATTGATGGTGCCTCAAAGTCAGCCTCCGGAGGCTATTGTGGGGTCGAGCCGGCGGTGGCCATGACATCGTAGTACTGCACGTTGCCGTTGGCAAACTCAACGCGCACCTTCCGCTCCGCACCTTGCTCGCCCTCGTAGTACTTCACAGGGCCGTTGGCAGGGTCTCCCCGCGCACCACCCGCTCCGCACCTTGCTCGCCCTCGCAGTGCACCACGGCGCCATCGGCAAGCACCACGCGCACGACCCGCTCCGCACCTTGCTCGCCCTCGTAGTACTGCACGTTGCCGTTGGCAGACTCCATGCGCACCACCCGCTCTGCGTCTTGCTCGCCCTCGTAGTACTGCACGTTGCCGTTGGGCAACTCCATGCGCACCATCTTCTCCGCACCTTTCTCGCCCTCGCAGTACTTCACCATGCCGCCGGGCATCTCCGTCCGCACCATCCGCTCCGCGCCTCGCTCGCCCTCCAAGTGCACAACGGTGCTGCCATCGGCATGCACCATGCGCACCATCCGCTCCACACCTTGGTCGCCCTCGTAGTACGCCACGCTGCCGTCGGGCAACTCCGTCCGCACGTTCCGCTCCGCACCCCGCTCGCCCTTGAGGTGCACAACGGTGCCATCGGCACTCACCGCGCGCACCCTCCTCTCCGCACCTCGCTCGCCCTCGAAGAACATTGCAAATCCGCACCGCAAGAGGCCCACCCGCAGCCTCGCGCCACTCTCATCGCCGCGCTGCAGTCTCCAATTAGCGATGCGATTGTCGCCGGGGCCGTCCAGCTCCGACGAGAGGCAGAGCGCCGGGCTCACCCTCGCAAGCCACGGGAAGTGGTCGGCGCTGGCACGGCGGTCGGCGGCGTATTTGCGCAGGATGGACTCAGTCAGAGGCGAGGGTGGGATGGCAGCGGGTGCGGCGGCGGCGGCGGCGAGGCGAGGCGAGCGGCGCAGCGCAGGTGTACGCTGGGCGAGCAGCAGCCGCATCGCCACGGCGAAGAGAGGGTCGTTGAAGCGCACCAGGCCGCTGCGCAGGGCGAGAAGGCCGAGGCGCGGCGACGCGAGGCTGAAGGCGGCGCAGTCGGAGAAGTCGTCGACGCCCTCGAGGATGCGGAGGTGCAGCTCCGGCGGCAGCTCGCCCAGCCAGTCCGTGGGCGGGGCCTCCTCGGTGCGTGCGCGGGGCGAGCGCGACATATTGAGGAGCCAGCCCGCGGGCGAGAGAGCGGCAAGAGGTGCGGCGGCACGTTTTCTTTTTTCTGTGCCATTTGTAGGCGAGAGTGTGAGTTGAGTTGTAGCGCGAGTGTGTGTGTGTGTGTGTGTGTGTGTGTGTAGCGCGAGTCCGAGCCAGTCTGCTGTGAGAGGGGCTTGTGCGAGAATTCTTTCTGTGAGACATCTTAAATGAAGCCTCTCTCACAGCACTACACATAAAGAAAGCCGCCGAGGTTTTCGTGTTATGGCCCTGCGACCGCGCACCCCCGGGGCTAGGGCTCTCTTGCCCGCAACCCGATCCCGATCATCCGGCCCGCTGGGTGCGCTTCTCAGCTCCCCGGCCCTGGATGTCGAGGGTTTCGGCAACCCAGAGGGAAACCAGAGGGTCCCCAGCACTTTGCGTTTCCGGAAGTTTCCAGGGAAACCAGAGGGTGTTTGGTGCTCCATTCTGTTTCTCTCGAGTTTCCCTCGGGAAACTCGCGAGTTTCCCTGAGTCTGAGAGCTGGTCTGGGGCAAAATCTGGGGCAAAATTGAGGAAATCGGCACGATACCCAGGTATTTTCTAGGTATACCGGGGTTTTCCAGGTATACCCGCAAAATACCCGGTATTTTGCCGATTTTGGCCCCAAAACAGCCTCAGACACGGCTCAGAGCCCCCCCAAAATGACGAATTCCACGGAGTTTCCCCGGGGTTTCCCGAGGAAACTAGAGGGTGTTGTAGGGAAACGAGCAGGAAACACGGAAAGGAAACCAGGTAGGGTGCGAGAGGAAACCCTCGGACAGGCCAATTCAAAAAGCCCGGCTGGTACGCTGCCGCCGTCGTCTACATGTACATTGACGAAGAAGCGGACCGTCTCGAACTACTCTTTGTTTGCCTAATTCTCGCACGGGCCATGCTCTTCGGCCGATGTCATTCACTGTTCACAACAACAAAAAAACTCCAGGCCCCAAATTACGTGTGAGTGTTAGAGTTGTTTGGTATTGCTAAAAATCTCTCTCTCTGTTCACACAGCACACGAAGAGCCATGAAAAGAGCGACGATGAATGCAGCGCGAAATGCGTTGTTGATTGCCCTTGCCCCGCTCGCGGTGCGCTCCCAGGGTGGTTCGTTTAATCCCCCAAGCTGGACGCCATGCTGCCCACCGCGCTCCAGCCTCACCCTCAACTGCCTGCTCGCGCTCACGCCAGCAACAGCAAAAGGTGGGTCGTGGCCGACTTGTGCGACGTTTGAAAGCTTCGGGCTCTGCCACCGCTCCGTCCACAGTGGAGGCGGGCCCGGCTACAGCAAGGCAGTGGCGCGCGTGGCCAGGGGGGTATGTCAGCACACGTGCAGTTCGTGCCGCTGGCCGGGAAATGCAGGAGTTTACGACGTGGCTCGCAGCGTTGGGGTTGAGATCCGGCTTCCCTACAGGACAGGGCACGAGGCCTCGCTGGGAGCGGAACCGACGTGTGAGGCGCTGGATGATCCCAGCCATGCGGCCAGCTGCCTCGAGCTGCGTCGCTGCCGCGCCGAGACGCTGCCGACTGCGGATGACTACGGCGTGCCCATCGACGACCACGAGACCGTGACGCACCTCATGGCCGCCTGCTCAACGAAACGCGAGACCAACGCGTCTGCGGCTTGTTGCGCCGGCAGCCCATACCCTGGCGTCGGTGGAGGGCCGCCGAAGCCGCTCGACAGGCCGCCGCCACGCCCACCGCCACCGCCGCCGCCCTTTCCGCTGAATTTCGTGGGCCGGGACGGAAGGCAGCGGCGAGACGGCGTGTGGTACGGAGCTGACGGCAAGCGCGAGTTGTCTGAAGGGAAAGGCCGTTTCCGTTCCAGGCGAGAAGTGAGGCGCTCCGTGGGGCGGGGCTGACGGGTTGACGGGTCACCTCAGATGACAAAAATATCTACATAGCACACGGCAGTCAGCTTGGACCTTAGTCCTTACCCCTGTTATACGTACAAGGCGTAAAAAATAAAAACATTGCTCATTGGTATCGGCGCATGGCGACGGGTGGCCCTGTCGGCCTCTTCGCCGCGGACTGCGTGATGATCCACGCCGGAAATTGCTGGGTAATACAGTAATGAATATTCACCACCATTTCATGCTTTTTCAGATCCCATGAATTCATCTCTAGGAATCCTATCCCAAGCGCGCACATGCCAAAAGACACCTCGCAGCGCGCGTGACGTGACCGAAGCAGCACGCCTCGGCGCCGCGAGAGCAAGCAAGCAGCCGGTCGCCGTCGGCACCAAGCGCGCGGCCGCCGGGCGCCTCCGAACCGACAGGGGCGCCGCGGCTTCCTACGGCACAAAAAGAAAACACGGGTGCGAGATGCGGTGCGGTGCGTGCAATCGTGTGTTTGGCGTCATGTCGTGTGTGCCTTCGCTTGTTCCTATTAACAACGAAGTCTAGCTCAAAAAGAAAACAGTGAACCATAGCTCAACTCCGACAGATCATCAAATGCTCGCGTTCTCCATCTCCCCGCTCGGCCTCAACCTGGCCCCGCGCGCCAGCGTCCGCATGGCCGCCGGCGGCGAGCAGATCCTGCTCGCCAGGTTCGGCGTGCCGGCTCCGGAACTGTCCGTCGACCGCCGTGGCGCGCTGGGCCTCGGCGCCGCCGCTTGCGCAGCCCTCGGCACCTCGATGCCGGCCTTCGCGGCGGATGACCCGATGTTCACCCTGCCGCCGCTCCCGTACGCCTACGACGCGCTCGAGCCGTGCGTTCGCCGCCACCGCAGCCCTCACCCCGCCGTCGACCCCTTGCCGCCGCCGCCGCCCACGCCGCCGCCGCCGCCCCTCCCAGCGGCGGTGGCGGCGCCGCCAGCCCCGCCAACGCCGCCGCCGCCAACCCCTCCGCAGGCACATCGACGCCGCCACCATGAAGTTCCACCACGACTTCCACCACCAGGCCTACATCACAAACCTGAACAAGGCGATGGCGGGCAAGCCAAAGGCGGACCTGGTCTCGCTCATGCCGGGCGCCAAGGCCGCCAAGCTCAACAACGCGGGCGGCGGCCACTACAATCACTGCATGTTCTGGAGCACACTCGGCCCAAAGGCGGGCGGCGAGCCCTCGGGTGCGCTCGGCGACGCCATGGCCAAGGTTTCCCCCTCTCCTCTACATGCTCCGCCTCTCCTCTCCTCTCCTCCTCTCTCCTCCTCTCCTCTCGTCTCGTCTCGTCTCGTCTCGTCTCGTCTCGTCTCGTCTCGTCTCGTCTCGTCTCGTCTCGTCTCGTCTCGTCTCGTCTCGTCTCGTCTCGTCTCGTCTCGTCTCGTCTCGTCTCGTCTCGTCTCGTCTCGTCTCGTCTCCTCCTCTCTCCTCGTCTCGTCTCGTCTCCTCTCCTCTCCTCGCCCCTCCTCTCTCTCGTCTCCTCTCCCCCAATCCCCCTGCGGCGCCCTTCGGCTCTGCGAGCAAAAGCTCTGCCTGCAGGCGTTTGGCTCGTACGACGACTTTAAGGCGCAGTTCTCCGCGGCGGCGGCCGGGGTGTTTGGGTCGGGATGGGCGTGGCTCGCGGTTGCCAAGGACGGCTCGGTCAAGATCGTCACTACGCCCAACCAGGAAATCTCGGGTACTCTCGGGTACTCTCGGGTACTCTCGGGTAATCTCGGGTAATCTCCGTCACGACGCCCAACCAGGACAACCCGCTGATGGACGGCGCCACCGAAGCCGGCCTCATCCCCATCCTCGGCATCGACGTCTTGGAGCCTAGAAGCGGAAGATCTCCCCATATCTCCCCCCGTATCTCCCCGTATCTGGCAGCACGGAGCCTAGAAACGGAAAGATGTCTTCCAACCAGCACCCGAGAGGACTCGCACTCTCAGCCGTGTCCGGCCTGTGTTCGTTGTCTCCGTCGCCCCTCGCGTTCACGCGGTGTACTCACGCGGTGCTCCGAGTACACAGCACGCGGCCGTACTCCCGCCCCGACCTCGGCCGATTCATAGCGCACTCCCGCCCCGACGTCGGTGACGCAGGTCTGGGAGCACGCGTACTACCTCAAGTACCAGAACCGGCGGCCCGAGTACATCGCCGCCTTCTACAACGTCGTCAACTGGGCCAAGGTGGGCGAGTACTACGCCACGGCCGCCGCCGGCAAGCCCATCGCCTTCTAGGAGCGCGCGGCACTCTTGCCGAGCGCAACGCCTGCGGGAGCTGCGCTCGTCGCTGACTACTCCGGACCGCGGAGCGCACGCGGGGCGGGGCGCGGGAGAGGGGGGGGGGGGGGGTCTACAAAGTGGCTGCGGCGCGAGGTGCGGAATCGCGTTGCGCTGCTCGTTGGCATGGCTCGGTTGCGGCATGCGGGTGGATGGGAGTTGGTTATGCGTGTGAATCTCGCTCGCTGTTGCGGCTAGCGCATGCTGGCATGCACATGCGCGCGAACGAACGACGCTGGGGCGGGCCTTTTTCGCGGCACGCCCGGGGCCTGGGGGCGGTGGGGGGGGGCTCGAGAGCTGCTAATGGGGGGTCCAGGCACCAGGGAGCCCCCCTGGGGGTCGGAGCCCCCCTGCCCCCAGGCTGGGCCCCAGCTCCTGAGACTGACGCATTCTTTGCTTTCTCTTGCGTGGAAAAATAAAAACCGAGCGTTCAATAAACAAAGGCAATTCATGGGGTGCGCCACGCGCAAAGCGCGGCGCGCGCGGCCGGCCTTGGTGGCCACACTATGTATTTTTTGTTTCTGACCTCAAACGGACTTTACACTTTATTCGCTCAGTTTCGTCAAATCTAGTGCTTGAGGGGCCCTCCCGTCGTCCAGGTCTGCCGTTTGACCGATTTGTGCAACAACTAGTAACAAATGACAAACAACTCACTTCATTCCACGATGAACACAATACGTAACAGCTAACAAGTCACGCGTCGTAACACATAACACTGAGCATCTCTATTCCATGACAAAAGACACCAAAGACCAAGTATCAAAAGGTAGGTAACTGCAACTAATGAATGTTGTCATCAGAAATAATTAGTGAGTTGTTTGCAAGCAGCTCGAGAAAAACAATGCGCGAGCGAGTTCCACCCCTGGAGAACTCGGACAAAAAACACCAAAAATAGGCGGCTTCGCCGCCAACTTTCCGTGCGGCTGCGGGTTTGAGTATTTTCGGAGGGGTGGAACTTGCTCGCGCATAGTTTTCTTGTTTGTAAAAAGCTCAATTCTTTCCGACGACAAGAACAAGTACCTGATACCACACTACAGTAGTCGGAAAACATATTGCAGCACTCTGCTGCAAATTTACGCGCAATTTCGCAAATCCACGCGCAAAAACGCGACATAGGCGGCGCGCAAAACTGGCCGACGCTGCGCGCCGCGGCCAATTCTGTGCTGAGAGAGTGTCGCGCTTTTGCGCGTGGATCTGTGACACTGCGCGTGAATTGTCAACAGAGTGTTGATTTTTGTTCCGTCAACCGTATTGTTCGGGTTCTTTTTGTTCGCAACACCGAGGCGTTCTACCGGAACATGGTCGAGGGGCATGGGCCCTACCGCGAGGAGGGAGAGGGAGGCGAGGGGGAGGGGGAGGGGGATGGAGGGGAGTGTGAGGGGTATGGGGGCGAGGGAATGGAGGGAGAGAGGAAGAGCAAGGGCGAGAGGGGACAGGGGACTGGTCGATGGCATACTAGGGGGGGGCAGGGTAGTGGGCGGCGATCGCCGCATACCGTCCTATGGCGGCGAGTATCGCTACGCCAGAGAGGACAAGGACGTCGACGTGCGGCTGCTGCTGTTCGAGTCGTTCGGTGGGTTCGGGAAGGGGGTCGGCGAGATCCTCTGGGGGGCGGCGAACTTGCTGCAGAACAAGCTGACGCGGGCCCAGTACCTCGATGAGGTGACTTGGACCACCAAGAGCTGGCTGGGGCTGCAGAAGCAGCGCATCTCAGTCGTTCTTCTTCGCAGAGCAGATTGTGAACGAGCTTGCCAGCGGCGAGGGCGGTCGAGTGCAGCGGAGCTAAGTGCCTCGCCGTCCTCGCAGGAGTCGCTTAGGCGGCTCCAGTGTGGTGTACCTGTATTAGTGCCAGTGCGCGCCAGTCCCGTGCCTAGTGTTGTGCGAGGGAGTTTTGTTGTAAAATTCTTTTTGTTGCACAACAAATGCAAACAATACGCGAACCATGAGCTAGGGAGCTCCGATGTAAGGAGCTAGGGAGCTCCAAGTACGTGATAACACACTAGTAATTTCGGGAGCCGGAGCCGGAGCCGGGGCCGCAGCGGGAGGCGGAGCCGCAGCGGAAGCCTGCTCCGCCGCGCGCTTGGTGCAGCGCGTGCAGAGCTGCTCGGGGCCCGGGTTGGGTGGCAGCCGGCGGGGGAGCAGCGGACGCAGAGCTCATGCCCTGCGGAGAGCAGCGAAGCGGAACGTGGCCTGAAAGGGGGTGGAAAACAAAAAAGCAAAACCCCCGTGGAGACTTGCAGTTTCCTTGCCCTTTTACAACTCAAATTCATGCTGTCTGAGTTGGTCTGACTCCATGGCGAGGCTCTCGTAGGCAGTGTGGTTGGCGAGGGCGAGGCCGCCTGTTCTTGACATGCAGGCGGGCAGGTTTAGGAAGGGCGTGGTCGGCCCCAGGTTTCTTTCTTTCTTTTGGTTCTGCCGACCAAAAGAAATTCGCCCGAGATAGCGCGGCGCGGCCCCGAGATCGCCCGAGATTGCGCGAGATCGCCCGAGATCGCGCGGCGCGGCCCGACCGAGGCGAGGTGGATGGGTTGGGAGCGGGGGGGCACAAGTGCTCAGTGCGGTAGAGGGTCAGATCGGGGCGCGAGAGGTGGCCTGTGAGCCATCCGGCTTACATTTACCCTGCGTTGTTGAGCCAGGACTCAACATACTCGGTCTGTCTGTTGCCATCCCAAACTGTCACTCCCCTCTCTCCCGGCCGGGGTGGGGCGCGCGCGGGGGCGGCGGGTGTGCGGCGAGTGTGCGGGATGTCTGTGGGCACGAGAGCGATATGCCATGTCCGCCTTGCGTTGTTTCATAACATCGAAGGCTAAGCTCAAAAGAAATTCTGTCTCGACCACCTTGCACTTCAGCTGGTCTCCGCTTCGCCCACAACAAGCCGCCGATGTCAGGGGACGCTGTCTTCATCTGACAGTGCTGCACTTCGCTCGCTGCACGAACGCGGCATAGCAATGCAGGAAGTCGACGAAGAAGGCCGCACTCCCGCTCACGCCGCCGCATCAAGCGGACACGTCGACTGCTTGCAGACGTTGCACGCGCTTGGAGCGGCGGCGAGTCTGTCAGCGGCGGATGAGAATGGGACCACTCCCGCTCACGAAGCCGCATCAGAAGGCCACGCCGATTGCCTGCGGGCGTTGCACGAGCTTGGGGCGGCGGCGAGCTTCTCAGCGGCGGATGCTCAGGGGCGCACTCCCGCTCACCTCGCAGCATTACGCGGCCACGCCGACTGCCTGCGGGCGTTGCACGCGCTTGGAGCGGCGGCGAGCCTCTCGGCGGAGGCTGCGAACGGGCGCACTCCCGCTCACCTCGCAGCATTACGCGGCCACGCCGACTGCCTGCGGGCGTTGCACGCGCTTGGAGCGGCGGCGAGCCTCTCGGCGGCGGATAAGAATGGGTGCACTCCCGCTCACGCCGCCGCATCAAACGGCCACGCCGACTGCTTGCGGGCGTTGCACGCGCTTGGGGCGGCGGCGAGCCTGTCGGCGTCGGCTCCGGACGGGCGCACTCCCGCTCTCGTCGCAGCATCAGAAGGCCACGTCGAGGCGTTCGAGCAGCAGCAGGCGGAGGCGGCGGCGGCGGCGCAGGAGCAGGCGAGGCAGCAGCAGCGGCAGCAGGAGGAGGCGGCCGAGATGGAGGCGTGGGCGAGCAGCAACCTCGGGGAGGAGGAGGCTGCGGCGGAGGAGGCGGTCAAGCTAAGCCCTTAGTGAAGCGGTCCTCTCCTCCCCGCCTCGGACGACGGACTGAGCTGGGCTAAGTGCTGAACTGGTTAGGCGGCGGTCAAGCCGGTCCTCTCCGACTCGGAGGACGCAGCAGCAGGCGGAGCGGCGCCGGCGCCCGCCGCTCCCGCCGCCGCGCCGGCGGGCCCTTCGGCCTGCTTGCGGGCGTTGCACGCGCTTGGGGCGGCGGCGAGCCTGTCGGCGGCGGCTGCGAACGGGCGCACTCCCGCTCACGAAGCCGCATCAAACGGCCACGCCGACTGCCTGCGGGCGCTGCACGCGCTTGGAGCGGCGGCGAGCCTGTCGGCGGCGGCTGCGAACGGGCGCACTCCCGCTTACGCCGCAGCAACAAAAGGCCACGCCGACTGCCTGCGGGCGTTGCACGAGCTTGGAGCGGCGGCGAGCCTCTCGGCGGCGAATGCTGAGGGGCGCACTCCCGCTCACGCCGCCGCATCAAAAGGCCACGCCGACTGCCTGCGGGTGCTGCACGCGCTTGGAGCGGCGGCGAGCCTCTCGTCGGCGGTTGCGTACGGAGTCACTCCCGCTCACGCCGCCGCATCAAAAGGCCACGCCGACTGCCTGCGGGCGTTGCACGAGCTTGGAGCGGCGGCGAGCCTCTCGTCGGCGGTTGCGTACGGAGTCACTCCCGCTCACGCCGCCGCATCAAAAGGCCACGCCGACTGCCTGCGGGCGTTGCACGAGCTTGGAGCGGCGGCGAGCCTCTCGGCGGCGGATAAGAATGGGTGCACTCCCGCTCACCTCGCAGCATCAAAAGGCCACGCCGACTGCCTGCGGGCGCTGCACGCGCTTGGAGCGGCGGCGAGTCTGTCAGCGGCGGATGAGAATGGGACCACTCCCGCTCACGCCGCCGCATCAAACGGCCACGCCGACTGCCTGCGGGTGCTGCACGCGAGCCTCGCCGAAAGCATCACGCCGCTCCTCGCCCAACTGGTTGAGCTTACGTCGCCGGATGCGACCGGTCTGCCAGGGGTCATCGCCGAGCTTGAGGCGAAGCAGTCTCTCTCGTGGGGCCTCGCCGATGTCGTGACACCGGCCGAAGTCGCCGCACGACGTGGCCACGAGAGTTGCCTTGAGTTCCTTGCGTCCATCGGAGGCGCAGACCGCTTCTGGGCTAACCTCGTCGAGTCGCCCGAGAAGATCCCGTACTACAAGGTCGACTTGCTCTCCAAGCCCTCGCTGCTCAACCTGCCCGCCAAGCGCGCTTGGCTCCATGAGCGCCTGGAGGCGGTGGTGGGCGACGCTGATGCTGCGGCGCTCTCGCTCGTGGTGCACCACGACAACATCACGGACGGCCTCTGCGCGCAGCTGGGCGTCGACGAGACCACCGGCGTCCTGCTGGATGGGACGGTCCCGCGGCGTCTGGACGTGACGTACGAGGGCGAGGGTGCCGGCGGCGACGGGCTACGGCGCGCGTGGTTCAGCGAGGTGACCAAGGAAATGGGGGACCGGGACTTTGGTCTCTTCTCTGCGGCCGGTGGGCAAACGCTGCAGCCCAACCCCAACTCGGCCGCGTACCAGACTGACCACCTCGCGCACTTTGCGCTGCTCGGCCGCATCGCCGGCCTGGCCCTCTACCACCAAGAGCCGATCGACTTTCCGTTTTCACCCGCCTTCCTCTACGTGGCATTTGGATACGAGATCACCTTTGACGACCTCAAGACCTTTGCCCCCGACGTGCACTCGTCGCTGAAGAAGCTGCTCGCCATGTCGGCCGACGAGCTCGAGGCGATGTGCCTGAACTTCGAGGTCCAACGTCTCGGATGTAGGATCCTGCCCCCGGTTGTTGGGGATGACGCCCCCCCCCCACCCCCCCATAGGTGGACGGCGAAGAGGCGCTCGTCTACGAGGACTCGTCCAAGCGGCGGCGCGCCACTGAGCTCAAGCCGGGAGGGGCGGACGAGCCGGTCACCGTGGCCAACGTCAAGGAGTACCTGCGGCTGTATGCGCGGCACCGGCTCCTCGGTGCCATCGAGCTGCAGGTTCGCGCCTTCCGCGCTGGCCTGGGCGTCTTCTTCAAGGAGGAGATACTGTCCAACCTCCGCACGTGCTGCTCGGTCGCCGAGATCCAGCTGCTGCTCTGCGGCGCCGCCGCAATCGACGTCGACGACTGGAAGGGCTCCACAGTCTACGATCCGCCTGAGTACGAGCGATCGAGCACGGTGACATGGCTCTGGAAGGCGGTGCGCGAGATGACTCTCGAGGAGCGCGCGCAGCTCCTCTTCTTCGCCACCGGCTCGACGCGGCCTCCCGCCACCGGCTTCGCGCACCTCATGGGCTACAGCGGTGAGGACTTGCCAACGGAGCAGCCCTTCACGGTGACGCGTGCCGCGGCCGCCGGGCGGCTGCCAACGGCGTCAACTTGCTTCAACCGGCTCTATCTGCCGGAGTTCGACAGCGAGGCGCAGCTGCTGAGGATGCTACGGATCGCGCTGACCGAGAACCAGGGCTTCTCCGAGGCGGCGGTGATGGCGTAGGGCTAGGGGGAGGATCTGCCTTATCGGCTAGAATCTGCTTGTTTGCGGTCTCGGGGTCGGGGTTAGGGTCGCGAAGTAAGGATGTCTGCCTCCCCGCGCTCCGCCTCCGGGCTCCTCCCCCAGGGCCAGCCCTGAGACTCCTCTGTGAGATAGAAGGATATATGCGCATATGTCCTTGTGGTCGCTCGGCGACCCTAAGGTACGGCTTTACTTAGCCGGGGTCGTCCTCCCGATGGGGGACTAGCAGTAGCACTTCGTTTGGCACATCGTTAAATTATTTTGCGGGACCCGGGGGACCCTCCGCGAACCTTACTCCTCTTGGAGCTCTATAAGCGTGGAGACTGGAGGGAGTGCGCCGGGCCGGGGGCCGTCCCGCTCCCGGGCGTCCGCTCCGGGGTCCACCGAGAGCACCGTACAACATGTAGCATGTGCAACATGTGCATGTGCATGTGCATGCACAGCCGTAGCCTCTAATGGTGTGTGCGCTCGACGGGCGGAGGCCCCGCCCCCGCCTCCAAAGGGGTGAGGACGGCTCGGGGGGGCCACTAATGGCGCATGGGCATGCACTTCCTCAGTGGTGGCGCAACGCCTGCCACACGGCCGAGTTGCACTTGAAGCCCGATCCAAACGCGATCTGCCACACGCGGTCGCCGCGGCGCAGCCGCCGCGCGGCGCCGCCGGGCGGGGGGGTGCCGTCGGGCCGGTGCTCGCCGCACGTGTTGCCGTGCTCGGCGACGAGCTCGAGCTATGGCGAGATATGGTGGTCAGATGTGGGGAGATGTGGGGAGATCTGGCGAGATGTGGCGAGATGTGGCGAGATGTGGCGAGATGTGGCGAGATGTGGCGAGATGTGGCGAGATGTGGCGAGATATGGCGAGATATGGCGAGACCTCGTACCAAATCGAGGCGGAGGAGACGTTGCCGTACTTCCAGAGCGAAAGACGCGACGGCTCGAGGTAGTGCGGCGGCAGCGCGAGGTTGGACTCGATCGCGTCGATGACGGCGCGTCCTCCCGTGTGGACGCAGATCCACTCGAAGGCCTTTGTAAAGTCGGGCACGTACGGCCGCAGCTCGACGCCGCTGTGGTGCCCTCCCCCCCGCGCCTTGGATGGCGACGTGGGGGGCGAGGCGGGGGGGCGCGCCGCCGCCTCGCCCTGTGTCGTCGCCGCCGCACGCGGCGGCGCACGAGGCGGCGACGACCCCGCGCCGCCGCGCGGGATGGCGCTTGTCGGCGGGCGGAGGCCGACGGCGTAGGCGACGGGCGAGAGACGGAGCAGCGCGGCGGTGGCCGCAGCGACGGCGCCGCGCACGGGCGGCGGCAGGGGCAGCCGCCTGCCGAGCGCCTTGCGCGCGAGCGCGTTGAGGAGGAAGAAGAGCTGCTCCGAGAGGGGGAGGACCAGCGGACCCAGAGTGGTGATGTTGCCCTTCAGCGCGTCGCCCGCGATCTGCAGTTCGGGAAGTTGTTGATGCGTGAATCGCCAATTTGAGGGTGGGGGTGAGAGTGGTGAGCGCGTGCGTGCGTGCGTGTGTGTATATGTGCGTCTGTATGTATGTATTCTCTCTCTCTCTCTACATGTATGCATGTATGCGTGTGTTTGTGTGAGTGTATGTAAATCTGTGAGTGTGCGTGTGCACCTGCATGATCTGCTTGGAGAGGCGCACACCGCGCACGCCCTCCTCGTCCTCCTCCTGGAAGACCGAGCGGTAGCAGTCATCCTTCTTGCCCAGGTGCGTCCGCACGAGGTGCAGCAGCCGGAAGCGCGCGCGGCGCCGGTCGGCGCGGCGGTTGGACAGGAGGATAGCCGCTGCGCCGCACCGAAAGAGGCAGTTGGAGAGGAGCATCGTGCGGTCGTTCCCGCGGTACCAGTTCTGCGTGATGTTCTCTGTCGACACAACCAGCGCGAGCGCGTTGTGTTGGTCGGGGGAGCGCAGCAGCTTGCGGGCCAGATCGAGGGCGATGAGCGACGCGGAGCAACCCATCCCGCCTACGGGGAGATCACCCGAGATCGAGATTGACCCGAGATTGCGGGGCGGAGCATCCCATCCCGCCTACGGGGAGATCACCCGAGATCGAGATTGACCCGAGATATTGCGGGTCGGCATCTCCGGTCTCGCGCCGAGGCGGAGCCTTTCGGGCGATCTCGGGCGATCTCGGGCGATCTCGGGCGATCTCGGGCGATCTCGGGCGATCTCGGGCGATCTAGGGCGATCTCGGGCGATCTCGGGCGATCTCGGGCGATCTCGGGCGATCTCGGGTAATCTCGATCCCATCCCGCCGAGGTTGAACGTCTGCACGTCGGAGCGGAAGCCGAAGCGGTTGACGAGCATGGCCGAGAGGGAGGGGGTGGGGCAGAAGAGGGAGCAGTTGACGACGAGGATAGAGACCTCGTGCGGCGCCACATGCGTCGCCTCGAGCAGCTGCTCCACCGCGTTGAACATCATGCACTCGGCCTCCTCTCTCGCGCCTCGCATGCAGAGCGAGTCGCGCTCCGCAAGCACCGCGTCCTGGCCGACCTCCTCTCGGAAGATGGAGGGCGGGAAGAGCGAGCGCTCCGAGATGGAGGAGGTGCGGAGGATCTTCTCCTGGAACTGCAGCGACTTGGCCGTGAAGCACTCGCCCCCGTCGAGGTGGCGCGCCGCGCGGCTCTCGGCCAGGAAGCGGTCGTACGCCACTGGCTCACCGGCGGTGTTGCGCGGGTCGCCGCCGACCGAGGCGTGCCGGTACGTCTTGAAGTCGACGAGCAGCACCTCCGGCCTCCTCCTCATCCACAGCACCGTCAGCAGCCACACCGATGCGGCGAGCACCAGCGCCGCAGCGGAGACGGAGCCGCGCTGGGCGAAAGTCGCGTCGCTGAGCGCGGCGATCAGCGCGCGCGCAAAGGCGTAGTACTCGTCCTTGCACGACTCGCAGTAGAGCAGGTACACCGAGTAGACTGTGAGCAGGCAGGCGATGGCCTTCATCGTGATGGAAGCAAGGTCGAACCGGGCGGCATACCCTCTGAAGATGTCGCGCCGGGCAGCAAACCATTCCGAGGGCACGCGTGCCCACTCGCCAGCCGTCAGCGGCGCATCAGCCGGCTCGCTCGCGGGAGCGCCGGCGCTCTCCCAGCGGCGCATAGAGGACGGAGGAGGCGGTGCGGGCGGCGGCGGCGAGGAACGATGGCTGTGGCGGCGCTAAAAGAATTATGCGCACATGGATGTTCGGAAGATGACTCTCGAGGTTCTCGAGGTGGATATCCTTTGGCCGCGTTGGGTAGCGAGGATTGGTGTAACCCGAGCCACGGAGGCGTGTTTTCTGGCGGCCGACCGTCAGTGCACGGAGTTGCCACTTCTCCGACTGCCCCGGCTAGTTCCCGAGTTTCGCGGGAGTGACCCCATGCGTCAAACCCGAGACCTAGCGCGGGTGGGTTGGAGGGGGCTCGCCCCGTTCCTCCCCATCGGGCCGCATGAGCGGCCACGCCTCGCAGATTCGTTTTCGCGCCTGGGTCAGGCGCGCGGGGCATCCCCCGGGTCGCTCGACCAGCGATCCGAAGAGTGGCCGCTATGCGAGGGAAAGAGTGGGGCCCTCGACGCCTCAGTCCGGCCCTCCGAGGGGGGAAGGGAATTGCGGGGTCCCCACGGGCGCCTCAGTTCGGCCCTCCCGAGGGGGGGGAGGGGAGCAAGGGGGTGGGGGGATCGGGGCGGGGGGGGAGGGGTCTCGGTTTCGTGTGGCTAATACTTGCCTTTCGGGGAGGGGCCTCCGTTCATCGCGACTGGGCCGCTCGGGATGCAGCCCCGCGCTCTCCCCGCCCCGCCCTCCTCCTCCCTCCCTCCCTGCCTCGACCCTCTTCCACGCGCCCGTCGCCCGTCGACGTCGCGCTGTGGCTGCCAGCCTGGCCCGGCCCCGCTCGGGTGCTCCGCCCTCCGCCCTCCGCAACCGCAATCCGCATCTCTGTCCCGTCACGGGGACGCGAGTCGCGCCGTGAATTACGGCTCGGCTTTACAAATTACAATAAAATCAACTTCCATCAAACCCCCGTGCCCGGGTACTGTACCGTGGAGCGTGGTAAAGTAGTGCGACTACTAATAGCCTCTACCCAGCACCCCCGACCCCCGTAGCCGTACGCGCTCAAGAGGCACGACCCCCACGAGGGGGGTCGCAACTTCGCAGCCGGTGGCAACACTACAGGCTTGTATTATGGATCTTGGATGCCCGAGTAGGACCATCTGCTAGTGGCTCAAGTATCACTTTCAGGTGTAAATTAGGCAAACGCGGTTCTAGGTTAGGCCTGTTTAACGTTTTACATTACATAGGTCATCAGGAAGAGCAAGAGGTTGCACAGGGCTAATGGGCTCGTGCAAGCCTTGCGTCGCACAGGAACGGGGTAGCGCCCGCATCTTTCATCCCGCGAATTTTCTCGTGCGGACGGCCCGCGCGCACCCACATACCCGGTTTCCTCAGCACCAGCGTGTCATTGTCCACCTTGCTGCTGGCTGCGTCGAAGACTCCCGCGCAGCCATTCATGTTCGGGCCGTGGAACTGGTGCATGTGCTCTGGGAAGTCGACGCCCTCGGCCAGGAAGAGGACGCTGAGCTCGCAGCCCCACGCCGTCGTGCGCACGGCTCTGGACCGCGGGACACGCGGCGAGCAGTAGATGGGCGTCGCCGGCGCAAATCCGAGGCTCGCGGCGCGGCTCACGACCTGCGAGCACTTGGGCTGGCTAGCGTACATGCCGTCGCAGTCGTCCGAGTTCACTTCGAGAGAGAAGCGGCGCACGCGCCGCAGCGCCGCAGCGCCGGCGCTCTCGATGACGCGGAGATCCATCCCCTGCGCGTCGACCTTGATCAGCTCGATCGGAAGCGATGGGTCCACCCACCCCAAGATGGTGCTCAGCGGGAGGCTCGGCACTGCGCGGCGATCGCTCACCTTCCTGCACCACTTGAGCCGGTTGGAGGACATGTTGAGCGGCAGCGTCGAGGAGCAGCCCGAATTGCTCCCTACGTTGAGGTTCAGCATGGCGCCCTCCGCACCCAGGCCGTCGCTGACGGCGAGCGGCAGGATGATCCCGCGGGCGTGGTGCTGCCCGAGCTGCTGAAACGCGTCGAATTGATTTGAGCCCTGCAGCCTTGCGAGCAGACGGGAGTACTTGTCGACGAGAGGCTCGCAAGAGATGAGGAACAGGTTCTGCATGCGTGGCAACGGCAACAGCTCCGTCGAGAGAGTGTCGCGATCGCTCGTGCCGATCTCAATGGCGATGGCCGAGGTGTTCTGCGGCAGCACCAGCCGGCCCTTGCGCAGGGAGGCGATCTGCACTCGGGCGAAGACGCCGTCAGCCGTGGCCTCAACTGCCGGCGGCGTTTGCGCGCAGCAGTTGCTAAAGAGCGCGGCGAACATTGCCGGCAGCTGTTTGAGCGACGGATGCACAACAGTGCCCACAACAGCGCCCGCAACAGACGAGGCATTTGGCTATTAAGAGAGTCATAGTTACTCCCGCCGTTTACCCGCGCTTGGTTGAATTTCTTCACTTTGACATTCAGAGCACTGGGCAGAAATCACATTGCGTCAGCACCCTCGCGGGCTCGACTCGCGGGCCATCGCAATGCTTTGTTTTAATTAAACAGTCGGATTCCCCTTGTCCGCGCCAGTTCTGAAGCGGCTGTTCGTCGCGCAGGGAGAGCCGGAGCGCTCCTAGGCCGTCCGCCGGACGGCCGCGCGGGATCCGCAGCCGTGAGGCAGCGGCTCGCGAGTGGAGGTGCGGCGGGGCGCATCGCGTGCTTGCGCGGGACGTTGGGGCAACCCCTGCGGGAGTTCGTTTCGATCTGGCGTTCGTTACAGGCTGGTATTACTAGGCACGGGACTGGCGCGTTGATGAGACGATCTCCGCTTCCACACACCTCACCCGCGTCCTGGATTCTTACTTAATTAAGCTCCGGGGGCGCCTCTCCGCTCTCGCCGGCCGGCACCCCCACAGCAGGTCAGCCGGGCGTTTAGCTTTAGGTAAAATTTACACTAAATAATGTGAGAGATGAAGCGCTAGCCGCCACCGCACCGTGGCACCGCCCTCTCCACGCTCACCGCCACCTTTGGGCTCGCATTGGACAGGTAGCCGCGCAGGTTGTAGTCCGCGCGCTCCGGCTGCGTGTTGTACGCCGAGTCGATCGCCTTGCAGCAGAGCGTGACCTCCCGGGCGCCCGGTGGCACCGGCACGCGCGCCCGCCACAGCACCCAGCTCCAGTTGCGGCCGTGCTCCGGCGGCGCCGGCGGCGGCAGCTTGCCGCGCGCGCCCTCACCGCCGCCGGCCTCCGCGACGGCCGACGCCACTCCCAGCAGCGTCGCGTTCCGCCAGCTCTCGCCACCGTCGGTCGAAAGCCGCACCGACACGATGCGCTGCCCCGCGCCCGAGACCGCGTAGCCGCGCGCCTCGAGCGCCCCGTCGTCGCCGAGCGTCACGACGTCGCCGGCCGCCGGGCTCACGATAGCGCTCTGCACGGGGAACTCGTAGACGGGCGGCACGTCGCCGTCGTCATAGTCGATGTCGCAGAGGTCGCGCACCCACGGCGGGAACATCCGGTAGTACCTCTTCTGCCAGACGGAGCCACTCTCCTCTGGCCGCACGGCGAGGTGCTGCAGCCACTTGACGCTGCGCGCGCCCACAAAGCCGGGCGCGAGGAGCCGCAACGGCGCGCCGTGGTCGCGCGAGAGCGGCTCGCCATTCATCGAGTGCGCGAGCAGCACGTCGCCGCGCGCGTCGAGCACCTTCTCGAGCGGGATCGACACCTCGTACCCGTCGCACCCCGTCGCGTGCAGGTGCAGCGTCCCAGCCGCGTCGCCGCCGGGCTTGCCGTCGCGAGCCTCGCCGTCGCCGCCCTCGCCCGGCGGTCGCAGCGCGAGCAGGTCGCGCACGCGCACGCCCTCCCACCAGGCGTTGCCAATCTGGCCGATGCCGCCCGCCGCGCTCGGCTCGACCTCGTCGCACCGGTTGCCCGTGCACTGCAGCGTCGCGTGCAGCGTCGCCTGCGGCAGCTCCTCCCGCAGCTCGCGCACGCTGAACGACCGACGGCGGCCGCCCCCCCAGTCGAGCGTGAGCCGATGCTCGTCCTCGTCGATGCGCGGCGCCGGCAGGTGGTTGCGCACGTAGAAGAGGTGCTGTGGCGTCCAGAAGGCCGTGGCGAGCACCTCGCGCGCCGTCTCGCTGTCAAAGGGCCGCGCGCCGAGCACGCCGAGGCGGCCGTCGCGCTCCGGCTCGTCGTCGTACGGGTCGGCGATGTTGTAGAGGCCGCTCAACCGGTCGGCGGGCGCGAGCCGGCCGATGCGCAGCGGCTGCAGGTGGCCCATGACCCGGCTCGTCAGGTGGACCTGCCACTGCGCCCACAGCGGCTCGAGCGGCCCGCCGCCCGCCGCGAGGATGTGGTCGCCGCCGGGATGGTGCCGGACAAACTCGGTGACGTCGTACACGCCGTCGCCGAGCGTGACCCACACGCCGTCCGCCATCGAAGCGTGGGCGGCCACCTCGGCGGCGGTGAACGTCGGCTCCGGCTCGCAGCACGCTGCGCTCTGCGACCAGATGCAGACGGCGCTGCCTGCCGCCGCCGCGAGCGCGGCGGGGTGGCGCGGCCCGCGCAGGCCGCGAAGCAGCAGCCGTCGCGTCGCGCCGCGCAGCATTTGGTGCAGCGCAAGGGATCACCTCGAACCCGCCGCGCTGGGCCGCCAAAAAAAACATTGTCCAGGGGCGGGGCTTGCTTTTTGCCTCCCAAACGCTATGGCGGGGGCGGCGGCGGCGGCGCGACGGGGTTGGTAGGGGGGTGGGGAGGCTGCCGTGCTGTGAGAGCACTCGAGCTGCCGTGTGCGCTGCGCGTGCCCGGTGCGCG